TTGTGATTACTTAATTTCCCCATGAACAGTTGGCCCAGCCTCACCTGGATGAACAACCCGGGGCCCCTCCCCTGCTCCACCCCCTCTCCCACGCCAGGCCGCTCCCACGCCAGGCCCTGCCCCAGCCGCGCAACACCCCTCCCGGCACCTTGTTCCAGAGTCTCAGGGCGAAGTCCCGCGCGGGCCCGCCGAGGTCCAGGGTGTCAGTGTCTCGCAGGCGCTGCACGAACTCCTCCGCCGAGGCGCAGCGCTGCGCGGTACCGATGAGGAACTGGGCCACATGCCGCTCGCTCAGCCCCAGCACCGAGTGCAGCTCGTCCTGCACCCAGCGCTCCAGCCCCGCCGGCGTCGTCATGGTGACCCGCGCTCCCGCCTCCCGGCCCGGGAGCTTCTCAAGCAGCCGCGCCGGCGGCCGGGCCGCTCGGAGGCCCGGAGCCCTGGGCCGAAGCCCAGTCCTCCGCAAAGAGCGGCTTGGGAGTTCGCGGTTCGGTTCCGACAGCCCCGAGCCGTCTTTCCAGATCCAAGGCCGGATGCAGGCGCGCTTTTCCGGCCACGGTGCTACGGTGGCCGAGCGCGCTCAAAGCTCGCGCGCGGTGCCCGAGCGCGGTGTTAAGTATTTTGATTTCCGCCCGTGCTGACTCTCTGTCGCCCCCTGATGGTCAGTGCTTCACTCATTCATTCAGCAAGTGCCAAGCGCCTAACACGTGCTAGGCCAATGTTAGTCTCTGGGTATATGACAAAGAACAAATCAGACAAAAATCTCTTACCGATTTACACTGAGTTGAAGGAGGAAGACAAGATACTTTAGTTATATGGAGTCAAAAATAAGGCAGAAGATGGGGAGGGGGATTCTACTTCATATGGAAAGATCAGGCCCTTGCTTATTAAGGATTAGCCCTTGCTGGTTAGGAAAGATCTTGGAGAGGATGGTACCTGCAGCAGGAGTGAAAGGATAGTCATAAGTGAGGGTCTCCAGCAGCAAGAAACTTGGCATAAGGAAAAAACAAAGATGTCCCCTTTTTTTGGTACTGTTTTAACTGATGACTGCAGCCAAAGACTGTTACAGGTGGTGTTCCCTGGAGAGAGGTGCTGGTGGGCATAGATAGACCCAGGGAAAATTCCAACAAAGTATTGGTGGGGGTGGAGACTGGGATAAGAAATATAAGGCAGGGTGGCTCCCTGGTGGCGCAAGGGGTTAAGCACAGCACTGTGAAGCTATCCGCAGCCTCTGCAGCACAAGCTGGCCAGGGAGCTACTCATGGCGCAGCAGATCTATTCCAACTGCCCACTGCTCCCCTTGTTACAGGGCAGGGAGAGGTGCACCCCAGACCCCCAAAAACCTGCATGCTCTAAATGGGTTCTGCCATCTGCCGCATCAACACAAAACATGTAAGACTTTAATGGGAAGGAACTTTAATACAATTAGGAAACAATACAAAAAAGGCAAAGAATATAGTTTCTAAATCAAGCACCCAATGTTACCCGTCCCCTCGTGGGTAAAAGTCCGCCCAAGCAGGATTGGCCCAGAGCAAGACCCCAAAGCCTGTCACAAGTCTAAAGCATCTTCCAGTGGGGACCCACAGAAAAGTATCAGAAATAACCAGACAAGTCTGGAAGGAAAGGAGCAAAATCAAAACCAAGACAAAAATCGCCATGGTCACCTTCCCATGGGTCTCTCCACCCGAATCTGTGTCACCCAGTCCACAACCAAAAGGCAAGCGCGATTTCTTCACATGTCTCTCCATTCCATGTGCCTCCTCCAGGTCTCCTCTGGCTCCATCCGGCTTCCTTCCTTCCTCAGTCTCCTCTGCAGCTTCTTCTCTCCCTGCTCAGCTTCACCCTCCTTTTGGGTGGGGCAGGAAACCTGGAACCTCCCCCTTTCCTGGGGACCACCCTGTTATACCCTCAGCAATATATTTTCAGTCAATTTGCCTGTTCTGTTCCCGCTCTGTCTCTGGTGAATCCTCTCACCCCCCACACCTCTGGCCTGCACCCCAGCTCTTGTATGCATAAATAAATAAATAAATAAATAAATAAACTATTTAAAAAAAAAAAAAGAAATATAAAGGGCCTCCCTGGTGGCGCAAGGGGTTAATCAATGCACTATGAAGCAATCTGAAGCCTCTGCAGCATGAGTTCAATTCCCAGCTGGCCAGGGAGCAACCCACATGGCGAGGCAGACCTCTCCTGTCTCACCCGCTGCTCCCCTCAGCAGTGTATTTCAGTCAGTCTGCCTGTTCTGTTCCCCGCTCTGCCTCTGGTGAATCCTCTCACCCCCTGCATCTCTGGCCTATATCCCAGGTCTTGTATGCATAAATAAATAAGTCTTTTAAAAAATATATATATAAGAGGGCCTCCCCGGTGGTGCAGCGGTTGAGCGCTGGGTTGCGAAGCTGCCCGCGGCCCCTGCGGCGCCGGTTCGATCCCCGGCTGCTCCCCGGCCACTGGAGGAGGGTCCCACATGGTGCGCAGACCTCTCCTGCCGCCCGCTGCTCCCCTCAGCAGTGTATTTCGGTCCTTCTGCCTGCTCTGCTCCGCGCTCTGGCTCTGGTGAATTCTCTCACCCCCCCGCGCTTCTGACTGTACCCAGTGCATGTATAAACAAAACAAACAAACAAATAAATAAATAAAATAAAAAAACATGCCTCTATAAAAATATATATATATATATATATATATATATATATATATATATATATATATATGGCTGCAGAAGCAACCCCCAGCTTTCAACTCTCCTGTAGTCCTGCCTGTGCTGTCCCTGAAGCTGCCTACTTAACCCTAACTTGCCCTGGGACTCACCAGGATTCAGCTTCTGGGATTTCAGCATTTTTGTATCTTCAGCGATTCAGAGGTTAGTGATTTCTGCCCCCACCATGCTGATCTTCCAGAAAGCTGTTGTGGGCCTCTGAAGGATGTGGAGAGGCCTCCAGCAGCCAACCTCAGAGAGGAAAAGTTCAGAAACTTTGCACGTAGCCAAGTGACTGAAACTGTTCCGTTTTGCTGCTGTTACATCCTGGCAGGAGAGGCAAAGAGACGGAACCTGGGGACTCACTGAGCTGTGAATGTGGCCATTTGTTGGGTGGTTTGGCCACTGCAGCTGCTGTTTTGTCTCTTGTCTGGTGCTCCACTGGGGCATCTTGGCAGCACCATGAGCATCTCCTGTTGTGTCTTCTGTTGTCTTCATGAGTTGGATCCCAGCCTATAGTCTGGCTGCCAAGTGCTCCATGTCCTCAGTGGTGGGAAGAAGCCATCTTGGGAGCATTTGTGTTTAGGACTTTAAAACACTGGACACTGCTTGTGTGTGGTAAGCAGCCATTTTTGGCCTCAGTAACTCTTTGTTTTTCCCTGATTTGTTAAATAAATCCCATTATTGTTCTCTGATCCTGAGTAGTCTTGTAATTGCATGTGCACGTGAAGAACTCACACAGTGACTGGTAAACTATTTGGGCCTTCTCCTTGGCCTATTTTAGTGCCCCTTGCTACCCTGTATCACTGTTGCAAAGTTATTTAAAACATCATCAAAGGAAGGATGTGCCAACTGTTTCCTGCATTTTTGCCAACAGCTTGGGAAGTTCACTGGTGGTTGCAATATTTGAAAATAAGCAGAGGGCCTCTTTGGTGGCCTGTGGGTTAAGTCTTAGCACTTCCATCATTGGCCAGGGAGCTAACCCACATGGCACAGCAGACCTCCCTCTTGCCTGCTGCTCCTCTTAGCAGTGTATTTCAGTAAACCCACCTGTTTTGCTCCCCACTGTCTCTGGTGAATCCTCTCACACTCCCCACCCTCCACTTCTCTGGCCTACACCCCAGTTCTTCTATGCAAAAATAAATAAATAAAAATAAGCAGAACTTGCCCTTGACTCTTGGGCAATCTGACCTCTATTTGACCCTGCTTCATATTTTTATGATATATTAGATTAATCAGTGTTGGAAAATGTTATTACAATTAACAGCCACAGGTAGTTCCATATCACTGACTTCTTGGATGAGTAATCTTCTGTTTCTGAGATGGAGTGTGGACACCTCAAGGGCTTCCTCCCTTGGCCTTCCCAACTTGAAGCTGATTAGGACCTAATTAGCTACTAATGTGAGCGTTGTTTCCCTTCACCCATACCCTCTGTGCATTGGCTCACTTTATTGACAACTTGCTAGAAAATTAAAAACCTTCGATATGTGTTTAAGATTAATTTGTCTAACACACTTTGGGTTTTAGTAAAGGGGAGTCTCCTCCTACTGAGCTGAGATAAACATGTAGTGGCAAGCAGGCAGGCAGGCTGAGGGGCTGGCAAGGCAGGGCTGGCATCTTTGTGCTTTCTTTCTGGCTTCTCTCTCTGATGATCTCCCTCTCAGTCTCCTGTAGTCTTCCCTTGTCTCAGAGTGACACTGCCCTGCTAGGCCCAGGTGTCCATAATCATAGGAGTGCGTGCCCAACACTCACAACCCTTGACCCCAGGCATCCACACTAATGGTGGAAGGGTCTATAAAAGGCCTGGTAATTTCCTTTATGCTACAGTCATACAATACTTGCTGTTTGCACTGCAGTTTCTAGATACTGGAATCCTTTAAATCATAATGTCCTCTGCTTCTAATTAAAAAAAAAAAAAAGCTATCCATTTATTCATTCATCCTAGAAATAATTGTATGTGTGTGCTAGGTGCCAGGAATAGTGATACTGCAGTAAACCCAGTGCTGTGGAAGCAAGGCATGGGGCAGTTTCTCATTTGATTTGGGAGACAGGTAAAGGAGAGTCCTGTAGCCCTCAGTGGCTTTCTCAGACTTTTAAAAAAAAATTTATTTATACAAGAACTGGGGTACAGGCCAGAGGCGCGGGAGAGTGAGAGAATTCACCAGAGACAGCGTGGGGAGCAGAACAGGCAGATGGACGGAAAACACTGCTGAGGGAGCAGTGGGCAAGACAGGAGAGGTCTACCGTGCCATGTGGGTATCTCCCTGGCTGGCTGGGAATCGAACCTATACTGCAGTCTGTGGACACGTCCACATTGCTGCACTCAACTCGCTGTGCCACCGGGAAGTCCCTTTTTCAGGCTTTTAATGATTTTTCTACACCATTTGTGATGAGGCAACCAGATGCAGGGCAGAGGGGACCGAGGGGCCAGGAATCTTTACTCTTTCTCTTTGCGCTCTCTCTAGCATTCCCCCGTAGCCCTTCTGCTTCCCTTGTTCTCTGTGTGATGCTGCCTTTATATCCTCAGTCTCTTGGCTCAGGTGTGCACTTACACATGCCCACACCATACTTTAGGTGTCCACCATCAGTCACAGGAACCCCGAGCCCAGGCTCCCAAGTGCCTCTTACATTCAAGGCTGCAGGTGATAGCCACAGAGGCCAGTGGCACAAAAGCCTGACCATCCCTTACTCTACCCCACGCCAATGTGATCTGCCCTCTAGGAACTTGCAGTCTGCCGGATGCCTCAAGTGCCCTTCCTCACTAGTCCTTCCTCACTGAGGCTCTTCAAGAAACTAGTACAGGGCTCCCAGAACCCTTCCTGCATGTGAGTGCTGAGTCCCTGCTCCATCCCTATCATTTCTCTTCCCACAGCCATGGCTACTTCCTCTCTATGGCTGATAGGAAGCTGGAGGAGGCTTGGAATGAGGAACCCAGAGCCTCCCCAATTGTACATTTTTTCCCTGAAAGAAGGGGAAGCAGCTGAAGAGTCAGAGAAAGCTCCATTTTATTATGGAAAGTTGTTTTTTTTTAAAAAAAAAAAAACAGGCAAATGATAAAGAAGGAAAAAATGGGGGACAATTGAGATGCCCTCCTTAGGCATCCTATACCTTTGCTATTCGATTCAATAGTAAATTACTAGGGAAAACAGAATTAAATAACTCTGGTAGGGCATGGAGTTCAAATTCCCAGCCTTCCCTCTTGGGGAAAGCCGAGGCATAGTAATACTGAGCAAAATTGGAAGAAATTACACCCCTAGTCACTCAAATGAAGTGACTGTAGGGGACAGGGGAGAGGATTTCACATGGACACAGCAAGTAGGCATGACTTGTAAACCTGGGACTTTGGCAGATGAGGCTGCGAGCTGATGCGGTTTGTAAACGAGACTGTGGTCAAGGGAAGAGGTGGGAACTGTAAACAAAGGGGCAGTGACCTAAGGAACAGGAGGGAGAAAGTGCCTGGAAATGGAGTGAGGACCAGGCCTCCCAGGGAGATAGGTGCTTAAATCCTGACAGCACGCAGGGGGTTTAGGGGTCAAGGGTGACTATAAGGAGAGTGCACCCTGCCTACGGGGATGGAAGGGGTGCTCCATTGCTGCCCCCCCCACCATGAGCTCTGTGCTCCTCCCCAGGATGTGGTGCTCACTCTTGGAAACCACTAGCATGGTGGATACATTAGCATGCCCGCACCACTCATAACACGGACCTCGGGGAAGGGTGGAAACTGGGTGATTGGCTCTGCCCCCCAGAAATAGGATGAGGAAAGTAAGTTGGAAGATATTGGTTGCCCTTCCCTGCCAGGCTCATTTTCAGGGTCTGTCTGCTCTGAATCTTCTGGGTTCTGAGACCTTCAGTTCTGGGAAGGAGGAAGGTAGAGCCCTGTGTTGGAAGACGGTCACCTGCGGCAGGACTCATCTGTGGGAGAGAAAACAATAATACAGAGAGCATGAGCGTGAGCCTCTGCGCCCCTTCCCCACCCTCAGTCACGCCGGTAGGCACATAGGAAGTCTTACCATGCCTTCCACTTCTTTTTTTATCTTTTACAGATTTATTTATTTATGCATGCAAGAACTGGGGTACAGGCCAGAGGCACAGGGGGTGAGAGGATTCACCAGAGACAGAGTGGGGAGCAGAACAGGTGGAGCTACTGAAATACACTGCTGAGGGGAGCAGTGGGCGAGTCAGGAGAAGTCTGCTGCGCCATGTGGGTAGCTCCCTGGCCGGCCAGGGAATGAACTTATGCCACAGCGGCTGGCGATAGCTTGATAGCGCTGTCTTTAATCCCTGCATCACCAGGGAGGCCCCAATCTTCCACTTCTTGAGCATAGGTTACTACCAGTAAGAGCAGCCACCGCTCACTCAGCGTGTACTCTGTGCCTATTCCTACAATTTGTTTACTTTCAATAGCCCCAGGAGAGGCTAAGTAATTTGATGTCCAGTCATGGTTCCAAGAACTTTACAAAAATTACTTAACCCTCTGAACAACTCCAAGAGGTGGTTATTATGAACCCAATTTCATAAATAGTAAACTGAGGCCACGGTCAGGTGATTGCCCTCAGGTCACACCACAAGCCACAAGATAGAGTTCAAACTCAGGCCTGAATCTGACCCAAATCCTGTGTTTTTAACCACACTAGAGTGCTAGAAAGAATTCTGGTTTTGAAATCTGGAGCCCCAGAAGCTCCAGTTGCAGCATCTGTTAAAGGAGCCAGTTGGGCTGGAGTTCCTGCAAGCCCCTTCCAAGCAGCAACGGCGAAGCCACCCTCCCTCCTGCCTGCAGTGTCTGCTCTCAACACCAGGGGACGCCCTCGAGCCGGTGGCGACTCCACTCACCCACTAGCAGGGCTTTGGTGCGCAGCCCGCTCTGCAGCTCCCGCTGCAGCAGAAGCAGCTCCTCCTCATCCTCTTCGTCGTCGGGTTGGGTCGCGGCGGGGCTGGGGGCACTGGGGCCCTCAGGCTCTGGACCCAGTTCTTCCAGAACGGAACTTTCGGAGGGGTATTGGTACGTGGTCTCCAGGGCTGTCTCGCTGAAGGAGATCTTGAGCTGAGGGTGGGAGAAAAAGGAGGCAGCAAGATCAGCCAGGGAAAGCCCGCAGGGCGCAGGTGAGAGGTAGAGGGTGAGGGAGCTGGGATCGGGACACTCCAGTGGCTGTGTCTGCCCGTCTACTCCGGGACCAGGTTATTATTTTTTTTTTTTAAGATTTTATTTATTTTTGGGCCTCCCTAGCGGCGCAAGGGGTTAAGACGCAACCTATGAAGCTATCTGCAGGCTCTGCAGCACGAGTTCAATCCCCCTGCCGGCCAGGGAGCTACCCATATGGCGCAGCAGACCTCTCCTGTCTCGCCAGCAGTGTATTTCGGTCAGTCCGTCTGTTCTGTTCCCCACTCTGTCTCTGGTGAATCCTCACCCCCCCCCCCAACACCTCTGGCCTGTACCCCAGCTCTTGTATGCATAAATAAATAAAATCTTTTTAAAATTTATTTATCTTTTAAGATTTATTTAAAAAATTTATTTATTTATACAAGCACTGGGTACAGTCAGAAGCGCAGGAGGGTGAAAGAATTCACCAGAGCCAGAGTGGGGAGCAGAACAGGCAAAAGGACCGAAGTACACTGCTGAGGGGAGCAGCGTGTGGCAGGAGAGGTCTGCATACCATGTGGGACCCTCGCCAGCTGCCGGGGATCAAACCAGCACTGCAGAGGCTGCGGGCAGCTTCGCAGCCCAGTGCTCAACCACTGGGCCACCAGGGGAGGCCCAAGATTTATTTATTTTTAAAAAAGATTTTATTTTTTTAAAGATTTGTTTGTTTAAAAAAAGATTTTATTTATTTATTTAAGGTTTATTTATTTATGCATACAAGAGCTGGGGTGCAGGCCAGAGGTGTGTGGGGGGTGGTAAGAGGATTCACCAGAGACAGAGCGGGGAATAGAACAGGCAGATTGTCTGAAGTACACTGCTGAAGGGAGCAGCGGGAGAGTCAGGAGACGTCTGATGCACCATGTGGGTTGTTCCCTGACTGGCCAGGGATCGAACTCATGCTAGAGAGGCTGTGGACAGCTTCACAGTGTGGTGCTTAACCCCTTGTGCCACCAGGGAGGCTCCAATTTTATTTATTTTTGCGTAGAACTGGGGTGCAGGCCAGAGGTGCGGGGTGGGGACGGTGTGAGGATTCATCAGAGACAGAGCAGGGAACAGAACAGGCAGATCCACCAAAATACACTGTTAAGGGGAGAAGCTGGTCAAACAGGAGAGGTCTGCTGTGCCATATGGGTTACTCCCTGGCTGGGATCAAACTCAGGCCTTCACCGTGGTAGCGCTGAGACTTAACCCCTAGGCTACCAAGGAGGCCCCAGTTTGCTTTCCTACACTGCCTCTCCAGTCCCAGATTTTCCCTCTTCAATCATATTTCAAAAACATCAGACTGAGCTTTGGCAGGGGTGGGAGTGATAGAAGACAGTAATATAGGGCCAAGTGGGACTCCTTAATGTGGGAGGCAGAGAGTAAAAAGAAATTGTAATATAAGGAGATAAGTCCTATCACTAGAACTGAGACTTTGGATGCCCTGCTGGCAATCAAGCAGGAAAGCTACCCAGAGGCGGGGAGATTTGAGATGACTGGAGAGTTTCAGGCAGAAGTAAGGGCAATCTAGGGCTTCCTTGGTAGACTAGAGGTTAAGTCTTAGTGCTTTCACTGCTTCAGCCTGAGTTTGAGCCCCAGCCAGGGAGCTACCCACATGGCGTAGCAGACCTCTCCTGTCTTGCCCACTGCTCCCCTCAGCAGTGTATTTCAGTAGATCCGCCTGTTCTGCTTCCCGCTCTGTCTCTGGTGAATCCTCTCACCGCCCCCACCTCTGGCCTACACCCCAGTTCTTCTACGCAAAAATTAAAAAAAAAAAAGAAGTAAGGGCAATCACATTGGAATTCAAGCCCTCCAGCCAGCTGCTGTTCCTAGGAAACCCAGAACCCTGGACAACAACCCTCGGGGCTCCCATCGCTCCTCTCTTGCAGCTGCAGAGGACCATGGCAAACAGGTCTAGCGTGTAAGGGGGGCAGGGAGTGACCCAACAGAAAGGTTCAGAGGAAATGAGACTCTCCCCCAACACACAGTAGAGAAGACGAGCAACTGGGGAGGTGACAGGGGCAGAGAGGAAAGTCCATGCAAACACAGGGTGGGGGTGGAGAGTGCACCAAGGGATGAGCAGAGATGAGGCAGAGACCAAGAGGAGATCTGCAGGGGCCAGAAAATCCTTCATTAACAAATGGTCTCTAGGCAGGCAAGCCCCAGCTGTCCTGGCTGCCTTTCTGCCTGTCCCCTTTGCTCTCCTAAGCAGCTCATGGAGAAAAGGCAGAGTGGGATTATCTCTCGGAGCCAAAGTGATTAAGGAGACAAAGGGAGGATTCCATATGAACTACTTGGAAAGGTCCAGATGATCTAGTTGGGCCTTCCCTGGCTTCGTGAGTGTCCAAGTGGACTGGAGTGTGAAAAGAGAAAAGCCAGGAGGGTGGCTGGACAGGTGTCGCTGACACCTAGTTCCCATGGGAAGCTGGAACTTAGTGACTATCACTTCCTGACTCCAAACACTGCTGCCATCTCACTTGGAGCAAAAGCCAGAGTCTGACCAAGGCCTATAGGGTGCTCCCAAAGTGCCACTCCTCCCTCACTTTTCTGGCATCCTCCCCCACTCCAGCGCACTGGCCACGCCGGTTCCTCCAGGAGTGCTGCCACCTCAGGGCCTTTGCACTGGCTGTTCCCTCTGCCTGAAACACCCTTTCCCCAAATATCCCTGTGGCCCCTGCTACTGGATCATGCTCTTATAAAGTTGTCATACAGGCTCCCTCTGCCTCCTGGCCCTTCTGGATCTGCTTATAACTGTTCGAATTTTTTCCCCACAATCACTAGCCACCTTCTAACCTACCAGAGAATTTATTTATTTGTTATCCTTGTGTCTGCGGCCAAAAGTTGCTACACCAGACCAAGTGAGGGTTCACCCAGACCTTAGATGAGGTGCCAACAGGGACCAACACCGGGCAACAATGTGGGGCAGGGAAGAGCTGAGTTGTTCATTCTCGACCCCCAGTGGATCTGTGGATCGGCTGGGGGAATCAGCAGCCAGACCCCTTATATCCCACTTCTCACACTTCTGTAACTGACACTCACCCAAGCTTCTGGGAACTCACTTCAGTTTGCTGTTTTTCTCTCTCCTTTTGGGATGTGAAGCTCTGTAGTTTATTATCCACTCTGAACAAGGATTCATTTTGTTTGTACTCAATTCAGGTTTGTCTCTGTCCCCCAAACCAAATCTCTCCTCACCTCCCCCCCAACCTACCCCAACTTCTGACTGGGCTCCTCAGGAATGCGCAGTCTGCATGGGGGGTGGGGGTGGTTTGGAGGGGGTGTGACTCACTGGCTCTTCTCTCATCAGCTATATAAGGTCACAAGGGGGCCAGAGAGAGGAGGGGCCAATCTTCCAGCCAGAGGGGCCTCAGGGGAACAGCACCAGCCACAGCCCAGCCCTGGGATTCTCTCCTGATGGCAGGGCCACATTTGATGGAATTAGCTGGCAAACAGGAGTTATTTAGGGAAAGCAGGGGGAGGGGAGCCCTCCCATCCTGAGCCAGTGGTTGGGACAGGGCTGGCCAGCCAGATGAGCTGGCTGCTGAGCAGGGAGAAAGCCTGAGGGGGCGGAGGGGCAGGTGTCTGGGTGTAGAGAACTCTGTGCTGCTTTCCCCCACCCCCACCCCAGAGAGGCCCGCTTCCTTATTCTCTCACCACATCCTGAGCAGTTCTGGCAGGCCCATGGCCCAGCGTTCCCCACTCACACCAGCCTTCCGGCCCCCACCCCAGGCTTCCTGTTTGGGCGATCTGCTTCTGGCTCCCCTGGCTCCCTGACCTAGGTAGGTATAGTCACCATCACAGGTCCTGGCCTGCACTGGGACTTTAGGCTTTAGGCCTCAAAACTTCGGCCTCTCTCCTTTCCTTCCTCCCTAAAGGCATAAGGCAACCTCACTAGAAAGCGACTTTTCTGAACCCCTCCTCTGGTGGTTTCCTGCCCCAACGCCTTTGCGTCTGCCTAGGCAGGAGGGGAAGGGGCTCGGGATAGATCTCTGCACCATGGCTCAGGGACAGGAGCTTAAGCATCACATGAAGATGAACTGGGGGATCAAGTGACACCCAAGCTAATGATCTTTGGTACCTGTTGTTTCCCACTGACACTAAGAACAAGAAACCCAAATCCGAGCAGTCACACATGGGATGAGGACTGGAGACTAGACTGGGGAGATGTGGCAGTGCAGGGGCTGCTCTTCCACTTGCAAGCTGGGAACAGGTTGTTTTTGTAGGGAAGGGGCTGGGCCAGGGCCAGGGGGGAAGTAGCCTGGCTGCTCCCACTTCCCTGCAAGTCCTCTGACCCTTGGGCGGCCTCAGCCCCCACCCATGGTTCCCCCTCGGTTCCTAATCCAGTGGTTCTCCCTGCCAGGCCCTCTCAGCACAGAGTGTCCAAATTCACTTCTCTCTTTTTCTTCCCCAAGGGGAGGGAAAGGCCAGGGTCCAAGGAAGAGAGGGGAAAACCAAGTGCTGAGCCAGTTCTGGAGAGGGAGGGGAAGCCCGAGGTGGGGGTGGGGTGGGGGGGTGTTGTCGGCCAGGGAGTGAGGGGCCGGCATTTGGGAAGAGGAGAAGGCTTTGCTTGTCCCGAGAGAGAAGGGAGCACTGTGTAAAGCAGTGGCCCAGCTGGGGGTGTGCAACCCCAAGGTCACCCACTTCAAATGGCCTCTGTGTGCGCCTCTCCCATGGGGCAGACTGGGGTTCAAAAGCCTTCTCTCTACTCTGTGTCCAGCCCTGTTCCTTTCCCTCCCCCTTCTATCCTAGGATGGCCCGCCTCAGCTCTACCCCCTCTTCCTTGGGACTGTGGGAGCTTCCTCCACTTACTTCTCCCTGCCATTTCTCCCTAGAACCCCAGGTTCCCCCTTCCACCTCTCTAGGTTTCCCATCCCAACATTCTCTCCCCTGAAGGCTAAGCGCTTTCACCAGGGGACCCAGCCCTCAGATCCCAGGCTGTCGCCAGGGCTCAGGTCTCCCACCAGATGGGCTGGGCTGGGTCACAGACTCAAGAAAGGAAAGAAAGAAGACGGGGTGAATTCAGAGCCTGAGGGAAGGGAGAGTGAGCAGTCTGGGCACACCCCAGAGACACACCCAGGGACAGGCCTGGTAGCCAGCAGGACTGTGGGGCTTGGAAATGAATGGAGAGCTCCACGAAGGAAGGGTGTGTGTTCAGAGGAAGGGTGGTGGCAGGAATGAGCGAGAGAACAGAGGACGAGCATGGGGGCGAGTATAAAAAACAAGGACCGATTCCAGAGACCAAGGAGTGGACTTCCAAGACGTTTGGCTTGGCTGCTCCCCTACCTGTTTGTGGTGTCTCTCAGGGGACCCCTTCACAAGGCAGCTGCGGCTGAGGCGAAGGTAGCCCCCCACAACCAAGATCTCCTCAGCAGTCGGGTACCGCTTCTTCCCAGCCCCGGGGACTGCAGCATCCGCTGTGGCTGGAGTAGCTGGAGTGGCTGGGGTTGCAGGGGGCATGGACCTTCGGGGGTTGACTGTGAAGGTGTGTCCGCTGCGGCGTGGGGCCCCCACCCCTGGCCCTGCCTTCACCCCATAGAAGAGACGGCTCATGAGGGGATCCCCAGGAGACTGGGGGGCAGGTGGGGCTGGTGGGGGCTGGGGTTCCACTGCTTCCTCTTCCTGCAGTCTAGAGACTCCAGTCCCAGTGTCCTCTGGTGGGAGGGGGGAGGGCACAGAGCAGCGGTTCTGCAGGGCACCCAGAGGCCTGCCCTGAGCCCTCGCCTCCTTCTCAGGCTCCCCTTCCCCTACACCAAAAGGCCCCAGACACTTCTCAGTTGTCTCTGGAGGTTCTGGTTTCTGAGTTCGAGTTTCTATGTCCTTGGGTGTCCATTCTCGAACCTTCCCAGAGTGCAGGGTCCATTTCCACCCTTCTGTCGGCCTTAAGCCCCTCTCACCATCCTCCACAGTGCTGGGCCTCTGTTCAGCTGCCTCCGTTCTTCCAGGGCTGTGGTCTGGCATGTCCCTTGTCAGGGTTTCTGACGGCCCTGTAATCTCTGGAGAGGCCATCCTTGGAACTGGCCTCTCTTCTTTTCTCCCGCATTCCTCGGAGCAGTTTTTTCTTTCTTCTCCTGAATTTAGCCTCGACTCTGATGCCTCCAGTTGCAGCACGCTCTGTTCTTGGGACTCTCCAGAGTCAGGCCTCCATTTGTGGGCCTCTGTTAAGCCCAACTTCTGGTTGTCAGCCTCCGATGGGCTCAGTCTACTCGCCACCACCTCTTTTCTCCTGGGGCTTTGTTCTCTAGGTTCTGCCAGCTTTAGACTCCGCTCTGAAGTTTCTCCAGGGCTCAGCCTCCATTTCTGGGGCTCTGGCAGTCTGGAGTTCCTGTCGCCAGACTCTCCTGGACTCTGGTCCTGGGCCTCCAAAGTCCTGGGGCTCGACTCTCGAGCTCCCCCTACCCCCAGCCTCCTCTCTCTGGCCTCCCTGGGACTGAGCCACTCTTCTCTAGACTCTCTTCCCTTGGGGCTTTGATCCCGCGTCTCCCCAGGGCTGGGTCTTCGCTCACGAGCCTCCAAAGGTCCAGGCCTTCTCTCGGGAAGTGGCTCTTCACTCCGCTGCTGCTGCTGCTGCTGCTGCTGTTGCTGCTGCTGCCGCTCCTGGCGAATGAATCTGTTCTGGTGCACTGGCCCGATGGCCTCCAGGAGCACCGTGGATTCATCTGGGTCTGGAGGTCCAGCCTCTGTAGTCCCAGGCACAGGGCTAGGCTCTCCAGGAGACAGACCAAGCTTGGCCCGTCTGCGCTCCAGGAGACCCCTTTTCCAGGCTGGCATCTGGGACAGCCGCTCCCGCTCCGCCTTCTCACGACCACGAAGGGCTGCCTCCTCCTGCCGGCGCCGAGCTAGCAGCTGTAACTTCCAGTCAGGGATAGTGGCCATGGCTGCCTGGAGGTAAGGGTGAGGAGCACTGGGGGTAGAGAACAGGAAGGGGAGGCTCCAGAGAGGCCCGGGGGGTCAGACGGGGTGGGGGAAAGGAAGCGGAGGGCACGAGGTGGGCCACAGCAGAGGCGTGGGGGTGAGGACAGAAGGAGAGACAGGAGTGCAGAAAAGGGGGGAAGTGAGAACGCCAAGTTGGGGTGTGTGTGTCGGGGGGGGGTGCCGCGAGGTGAGAGGAGGAGTGGAGATTGAGTGCAGAGCGGCGGGAGTCAGACTTGGCAGCACCGGGTTAAAGGGCCACAGACAGTCCCCAGGATGTGAGATGAGAGAAGGGTGAACCGCGAAGTTGGCGGGAGGGAGAAGAGAGACGCGCGGCCCAGGGTGAGGGGGCACAGGGCTCAGGCGGGGTTACTCACGCCGTGGGGGTCAGGGGGTGCCGCCGTGGAGGAGGCAGAGGGACGCGGAGGGGTGCTGGGCTGGCGGGGAGGAAGGGTAGGAGGGAGACCTAGGGGAGCCGGGGCATCGGGGGGCAGCGGGGAGAGGGAGCTCGGCGGCGGCGGCCGGGCATGTCTCGGCGCGGGCGGCTGCGGCCCCGGCTCCCCTTCCAGCTCCGCGCGGGCCACGCCCCTCCGGCCCCCGGGCCCGCCGCTGCCCGGCACTCCGCCCCGAGGCGGGTCGGGGGAAATACCCTCCCCCCGGGACTTTCGGAACCCGGCGTCGGGGCTGCCAGCGCGTTCCCAGAACCCTGGCGTCACCCGCGGGGTCCCGTCCCCACCGCCGACCGCCCCCCCGGCTGCGCCCCGAGCCCGGGCGCGCGAGGACCCGCCGCGCCCCCTCTCCGCCGGCCCGCGCGGCGCCGGCCCCGGCCCCCGGAGCCCTGACAGCGCCGGCCACCCCCCCCCCCCCGCCTCCCGCCGCAGACAGACAGTCTCAGCACAAAGAGGGGACAGCCGGGCCCGGCCGGGGAGGGAGCGCGGACGGCAGGCAGGAAGCACCCCCTCCCAGCCTCGGGCCCCGTGCACTCACGCGCCGCGGGGCTCCCGGGGAGGGGTGCGGAGGAGCCCGGCGTCCGGAGAGGAGGAGAGAGGAAGAGGAGGAGAGAGGGAGCGAGGGAGATCCGGAGACAGGAGGGGGAGAGAGGGAGGAGGGCGAGCCGGAGCCCAGGAGGAGGGACGGACGCCGAGATCTGGGGGCCGGGCGGGGGCGGCGACCGCTTTGTCTGAGGACAATGGGGAGCGGGCTGGGGGCGCGGGGCGGAGCCCGGGGAGGGCGTGGCCTCGCCCGAGCGGACCCCGCGTGGGACTCTGCTCGGTGACTCCCCTTTTCCCACCGCACGCCCCGTCGCTCCGCTCCTCTATGCCGCGCCCCACCCCGTTCCCGCCCTGCGGCGTGGAGAACCAGGGGTCCGGATCCCCGCCCCAGCCCGCCGACCGGGGCGGCGGCCGGTGACTCAGGCCCCTTGAGGGACCAGGGGAGGAAGCTGCAGCTGCTCGGAGCCGGGCCCGCCCTTCCCATCCCCTGCCGCTCCGCCCCACGCGTTGCCCTCCTCGGCCGGCCTTTGTTATGTGGGGTCCAAGGCCTCCGCCAGGCTGGGGGGACCCTCGGGAAGGAGAGCGGCTGAAGAGGCGCTGAGAGCCCAGGTGGGGATGCGCGCTCCCCTCGCAGAGCCGCTGCCCGCATCCCCTTTCCACTAGTCTCCCAAGGGTCCCCTGGTCTGCAGGGGGCAAATTGGGGAATTTGGAGGCTGAGGGAGCGGGTCGGTCCGGGAAGGTGGGGGCGAGTCCGCGGGGAGTGGCCGCAGCTCGGCTGTCGCCAGAGGGCGCGGTGGTTGCCTAGACTAGATTTGGCGCGCCCAGGCCCCGACTCATCTTCCTTCCCAAACTCAGTCCTGTGGCTTGAGAGATACTGACAGACTACAGGCCATAAGTAGAAAAACCAGGCTGAATTTTATTTTCCTGCAACGCGTGTTCAGAGAGCAAGGAACCTTTAATCACCTTTAATCAGTTTAGAAGCCTCTAAACTGGATTCGAGGATGGAGCCCAGGGGTGGAGCCTCAGGAGCTGCCAGGCTCGAAGTCTGGAGCAGCAGTTGATCTGGTCAAACTTGCAGACCCTGGTCCAGCAGCTCGGGGTAGGGGATATGGGGAGAAGGGGATCCCTGAGGCGCAGAGGCAGTAAAAGGCTGTACCCTTCTTGTGAGGAAATTAGGAGGACAGAGATCTAAACTGCCAGGACAGATTAGTTCCCCACCCCTTCTTCCAGGCTGGTGAGAAGTGGACCTTGGAGTTCATTGTGAGACTCAGAATTTGGGGTATGGAGCTGGACGCACCCAGGAACTGGAGTCTCAAGCATGAAGGCACAGCCCCTTCAGTTCATGGGTTTGGGCTTCTGGACTGAAGCAGCCAGTGCCTGGGTGTCAAGGGATTGGTAATTCCAAGGGAAGAGGAAGCACAAGGCTTGGACCCAGGGTCAGCTCCTCACTCAGCCTCCCCCTCCTGCGGCCGGGACAGCAAGTAGAGTTTTCTTTGCAGCTGGGCCCGGAGGTAGCGGAGGTCTTGCTGGTCAAGCCCGTGAGCCAGGCCCAGGTACAGGGTGAGCAGGAGAGCGAGGAGGAGCCGATCAGTGCCCAGGGTGGGCACCACCCACAGCACCGTCAGCAGCTCCACACACACTGGGTGGCGTAGATGGGAGAAGAGTCTCAGAGCCCGGGGAGACTTCAGGGCCAGGGGTTCGCCCAGCCCCAGCACATGGTAGTACACCTAGGAGAGGGAGACCAGCTTAGAAAGCCCTTGGGCAACTTACTGCTTTTTTCCTCTGCTCCTGGGCACCCTCCTGTAACTCGGGCTAGGGAGCATCCTCTGAGACTTGAGCCCCTGCCCCTCATTTCTGGTCCAAGAACCATGGTGTCTGACCTTTGAGGTAGAGAATCATCTTAGATGAAAGGGAGGCAGATGAGGGAGTGGAAAGGAAGGTGGAAGGGAATGGGAGGAGGGGAGGGAAGTCCTTGCAAGGCAAAGAGGCATCCTGGAGAGCATCGCAGACCTCAGGTAGGGATCTGGGAACCTCACCTGTTTGAGGCCCATGAGCTCGGCGTAGTCAAAGACGAGAAGGATGCTGAAGATGAGGAGCCAGGAGATAACGTGGAGCACAAAGCAGAGGAGAGGCACCCAGGTGGCCCATGGCTCCGCCCGAGCATCCCACAGCACAGGGCCTCTGGGTACCGGCTCCCAGTACCGCATCACCAGCTGGGGGAGGAGGAAGAGCTGGGTATCCTAGCAGCCCACCCTTGAGAGACCTAGATCCTAGGCTGTCCCCACCCCAGGCTGGCCTGCAGCTTGTCCCACCTCTACTATAAGCAAATATTCACCATGTGGAGGGTGCTGAGCGGGGTCCCATGGGTGTTAGGATGAATTGTGTCTCCCCTGAAGACCAGTGATATGCAAAGCAGCCTGTGCTGACTTTTCTATTAAAACCAACCTGGAATTTGTCAGGAAGCTCAAGTTGTTAATGGGGGAAAACAATCTAGAAACTGAGAGAATGACATCCAATAAAAAAGAGGTGGAGGCCTCCCTGGTGGCACAGGGATTAAGTCTCAGCACTATAAAGCTATCTGCAGACACTGCAGAATGCATTCAATCCCAGGCCAGGGAGCTAACTGACATGGCTCAGCAGACCTCTCCTGTCTCACCCACTGCTCCCCTCAGCAGCGTATTTTGGTAGATCTGCACATTCTGCTCCCCATTCTGTCCCTGGTGAATCTTCTCACCCTCCCGCACCTCTGGCCTACAGCTCTTGTATGCATAAATAAATCTTAAAAAAAAAAAAAAAAGAAAAAACCCCAAAGTAACCCATGCCAAATACACAGTTGACATTAGTTGGGAAGTTCTGTGAGAAGTGTTGAAGAGGCTATAATGGCCTGATTTCCACTCTCAAGCAGGACAACATGAACAAAGTTGCAAAGGTGAGAATGAACATGTACTTCTTGGAAAATGACCAGTGGTTCACCCTTTTTGAGAAAAGTAGGGTATGTGCTGTGGCTAGTGGAAGCTGAGATTAGAGCCCTGAATGACTGCAGTTCTCCTAAATCCACATTTTATCTGAAGCTTAAGGTCTTTGTCCCTCCAACTGTGGGCATCCTTCCCAGAGTCAGTTTCCCTTGAGGACTCAGCTGCCAGGGCCTCCTACCTGCAAGGCCAGGGCAGTGCATGCCACATACAGTGACCTCTGAAGGACCCCAAAGTACCGGGACATCCAGGCCTTCACGGTCTCAGTTGCCATGAGGCTGTGCTGTCCCACAAATAGTAGCAGGAGCACCAGATCGCGAGCCAGGGGGGCAAGGATGCTGCGGTCCTGCAGAGCAGCCAGCCAGCCCTGGCGGACATCTAGGGGGAGTTAGAGAAAGGGACAGAAGATCAAAAAGACGGTAGGGAACACCCTGCCCTCGCCCATCTCCCCTTGGAGTCACAGGTCTCGTTCCTTCATGCTCTCAGGAGTCAGAGAGCTTTCTCCCTAGGAGCTGCCAGCCTCACTTTTCCATTCTGTTTCTTCCCTCCTTCGGAGCGGGGAAGAGGATTTACATTAGGTTAAAGTCACAAAAGCAAGGCTGGAGAGGCCGGGGTTGGATTGCCCCTCTGATTTCCACTCTCCGAAGGATCCCTTCTCTCAGCACTCACCTATCCAGTCGTCACAAAGCACTCTCTTTGGAAGTCCCTGCTGACCGCCCTTTCCCTCTCCCTCCTTCCTCTCCCTACTTTCCGTCTACCCAAACCTCTAATCCCAGCGCTCCTGATTTCGCCCTCAGGTGTCCCCGGCAGTTTTCCGCGGTTTCTCGGTTCGCGTTCGCTCTCCAGAACTTCCTCTGTCATTTGTCTCCAAGCCCCGCCCCTGCTCCGTCTCCCGCGGCTCCACCTCCCCACCCCAGGGCTCACCCTCGATCCCGCCCGCTCACCCGGACCACCGGTCTCCGGGGTCCCTCCGAGAAGCGGCCGAAGGGAGGTGAAGCGCACGAACTCCACTCCAGTGCCAAAGGCCAGGATGAAAGAGGCGAGGGCGGCGGGGACCAGGAGCAGTGCAGAGGCCATGGCGAGAATGAGGGGTGGGGAAAGGGGCGGGTTTGGGGTTCCCGCGGCCACAGGCCCCGCCTCCTCCCGGGGGGCCCTACCCGGGGGGGCGGGGATCCAGCGCGTCAAACGCCCGGATTTCCCGCCCGGAGCTCGTAGCTTCTGCTAGCCGGCGGCTGCCCGCTGCTGGGTGCCTGGCCCCAGCCCGCAATCTTTGCGTCACAGAAGGGAATGTTAGAATCCCAAGTGACAGGTGAAAAGGGCACAACTCGCCAGTCATGTGGTTCGAATTCCAGCTTGCCTAGTTTTCTAATCTAAAATGAAGACAGAACTTCATCTAAAATGAACTCTCACAGAGTTCTCGTGGAAACAGCAGCGGAGCTCCTTTTACAGCTTTGGCTAGAAAACAACCAGTGCAGAGGTTACAGTCTCAACACTTTTTTTTTTAAAGATTTATTTTATTTATTTATGCATACAAGAACTAGCGTGTAGGCCAGGGGTGCGGGGAGGTGAGAGGGTTCACCAGAGACAGAGTGGGTATCAGAACAGGCAGACTGACTGAAATACACTGCTGAGGGAGCAGCAGGAGGGACGAGAGGTCTGCTGTGCATTGTGGGTCGGGATCCAACTCGTGCTGCAGATGGCTTCATAGTCCTGCGACTTAACCCCTTGTGCCACCAGGCAGGACCCCCTCCCCTTAACACTTCAATAAACCTAGGTGAGAGAAATTGAGATTGTTGGCCCAGGTTGAGACCCCAAAGCTCTGACCTTTCATGTCTTGTAGATTGAAAACAGTGACTATTTTACCACAAAAAAAAAAATAGATGCTTATTCTGCACGTAGCACTGTTGCCTCTCCACTTACTAAGAAGGGCAGAGAACAACTCTGTAATACAGAAAGATCTGTTCTCATAATACTAAAGGCAGGTGATTTGTTAACCAGATATAAAAATACTAAATTATTTGTGACAGAAACTTTATTACACTTGTAAACTTTGCAGTAGGTTAATTTTTAAAAAAGATTTATTTATTTATGCATACAAGAACTGGGGTACAGGCCAGAGGTGTGGGGGTGAGAGGATTCACCAGAGATAGTGTGGGGAACAGAACAGGCAGACTGAAATACACTGCTGAGGGGAGCAGCAGGTGAGACGGGAGAGGTCTGCTGCGCCATATCGAACTCATGCTGCCGTGGCCGCAAACAGCTTCATAGGTTGCGTCTTAACCCCTTGTGCCACCAGGGAGTGCCTGCAGTAGGTTAATTTTATCCAAGTTTGTGATCAGGAACTGCAGGACTTGACTCTGCAGCCTCATTAGTTTGATTCCATTTACTTAACAGAAGCTACAAAGACCTGTTGTTTTAACACACTTTCCCTGTAGACCTCTTTGTAATACCTGCAGACTAACATTCATATCTAAACAGCAGAGTAAAAGTAAGGTTTTCTCCATCAGAAAGATCAGGCAGCTAAAGACATGTGATCTAGTCACACCTTAGACACTGCTAGTTCCTGCAATTTACAGGCAGAAGAAACATACCCAAAGTGATAAATTTCCCCAGATGAGAACTGCTAGTTGAGTGGACTCAGGGATGAGAAAACTGCCAAGCATCATCCCACAGGCTCCACATTCCTTCTCTGCGGGCTCCTTCTCTGCCCACCCTCCTCTGAATTAATGCTAGTGTGTACTGTATCAGCTATTTTCCCTTCAGAGTCACACAGGAAGTTGTCCTGCATGGATGATCAGTGAAGAACATAGCCTTGATGGGGGAACCCTCACTACATAAGGCTTTTCATCCTTTTGGCTTTAGAGAAGTGGTTAAAAAGAGAACTCTGGATACCAGGGTCCTGCAACAGTCTTTGTGATTTCTCTGCATCTTGTCCACTTACTTGTTAATTTCCATTTTACTGAACTCTTCCAAATTATCCTGATTTGACTGTGCCATTGTTTCTTGCAGGGATGCTGACCCACAGACACTCTTATACAGCGTGCAATATGTTATGGGGCTCACTGGAAGTATGAGGAAAATCCCTGTTCTTTAGGAGCTTGAGTGCTAAATAGGGTAATAGCACCGCAGGTATTGCTAGGAATACTGTGGCCCTCAGGGACCCATGTCCCCGTAGCTTCACATAGCACAAGACTTTCAAGGCTCTGAGTTGTCCAAGAGTACTTTGGGTCCTACTGTGTGCCACACCCACAATGGCTGTGCTTAATATATGAGATTTGATATATTCAAAAACCAGCACAATATTTGACAACGTTCATGCTATTTCTACTACACCCCAGCTTTCGAAACCTGAGTATAACTTATAGAAAAGGGCACAAAGCCAAATTTCCAAATTTTTTTTGTGAAGTTCATATAAAATGAACCATCTGAGAACAATTCAGTGTTATGTGGCACATTCACAATGTGCAGATCTCCATCTAGTTCCAAAGCCCATTCATCAGCACCAAATCATACCCTATAACCTGAAGAAGGGCTAGATCCATTGAGCAGTCACCTCCTATTTCCCCTACCCCTGCCCCAGACCCTGGCAACCACCAATCTACTCTCCGTATCTACAGACTCACCTATTCTGGGTAATTTAAAGTAGTGAAGCATACAATGTGATCTTTTGTCTGGCTTCTTTCACTTAGCAACCTGCTTCTGAGGGTCATCCTCCAAACGTTGATCAGTGCTTCATCTCTTCTGATGGCTAATCCTATGGTATCCCACATCCTCTCACCCATTTGTGTGGTTTCTATCTTTTGGCTGTTACAAAAAGTATCACTATGAATACTGGATATGAACATTGAATACAGTTATTTGTTTTGAAGACCTATTTTAATTCTTAGCAAGAGTGGAATTGCTGGGTCACATGGTTGGTAACTATGTTTAACTATGTGAAAAACTGTTGAATTGTTTACCACAGCCTGAAACATTCTTCATTCCTACCAGCAATGTGTAGTAAGTAAGGGTTCCAATTTCTCCACATTCTTGTAACCAACCAACTTCAAAAATTATAAGAAATGTTACATAGAAAATACATTATACCATAAGGCACAGAGTGAAAATTTATCACAGAAGCTAAACATAAGCTCTAATGTTATAAATACTGGAAAAGGTGGGCATAAAAGTGCAGACTTGTTCAAAGTCAAGGCTAACGTATGCCTCTAATAAGACAGGTCCAGAAGAGTGGGAAATATTTCAGTAGCATTCCATAACGCCATCCTCAAATTTACTCACTCCAAACATCCCTTCAAGTTCCCGACACTAAAATTGGTCCCACTATGTTTCAGAAGATGAGTAAGAATCCCAGTTAACAAATAGGAAAGAAAGATGGTTTTCAAATGGGGGGGCAGGGATGTGTGTGCCACCGAGCATTAGCACATCGGTTCAGCTAAATAGGAGCAGCCATTCGAAACATCGGAGCCTGGGATTCGCCAACTTTAAATGGCCATTACAAAAAAATCTGTGGCTCCTAATCTCCCTATCTTTGTTTTACCCATAAACATTTTTGAGCCCATTCATGTTCCAAGGCTAATAAGATCAGAATAGCCCAGTCCTTTCTAAAGCCCTAAGTTTTCTTCCAAATATTTTCTGAACTTTATTTACTGGCCTGGGAGAGAAGTGGGCTTGGGGTAGTGTTTTCAGGTGGATGACATTTCCGAAGCAGAGAGGATGAAGTCCCCTGGCTTGGCTTCCTGCTTCAACACTCCTGTCAGCAGGAACTCAGGTGAGACGACGGGCAGCCCAACGCGACAAGGAATGGAGCACCGAGGGAAGTCCTGGGAGCATGTGATCACAACTCGCTGAGGCTGGGAAAGAGTGCAAAGACAGGAAGTCAGAATCAGAGAAATAGATCTGGGTATACGAATCAGTCTTAACATCACTAAAATAGTTCCTCCTGATATGAAGCCACGAAGCCCGCTGCACTGTCTATACAGCACTCTTGCAGGAAAAGTTGAACCCGAACTTATGTGCGCTTTTAAAATTAACTACGATGGGGCCTCCCTGGTGGCGCAGCGGTTGAGCGCTGGGTTGCAAAGCTGCCCGCGGCCTCTGCAGTGCCGGTTCGATCCCTGGCTGCTCCCCGGCCACCGGAGGAGGATCCCACATGGTGCGCAGACCTCTCCTGCCACCCGCTGCTCCCCTCAGCAGTGTACTTCGGACCTTCTGCCTGCTCTGCTCCCCGCTCTGGCTCTGGTGAATTCTCTCACCCTCCCGCGCTTCTGGCTGCACCCAGTGCATGTATAAACAAAACAAACAAACAAATATAACAAATAAATAAATAAACATGCCTCTATAAAAAAAAAAAATTCAGAAAAAAAAATAAAATTAACTACGATGTACAGGACCTATAGAAGATAGAAGATGATGATAAATGACATGAAGGGACAAACAGAAAAATCCAGGCTGTGGAACACTCTAAAGGACAAGTGACCTACTTTCTGCAGAAAGTCAAAGACATAAAAAAAAAAGCTGGATGGGTTTGTGGATGCTGTGAAGAGAACTGAAGAGATGCAACATTTGTGGCAATACATGGACCTTGTTTGAATCTTGATTTGAACTATAAAAAGATATTTTCAGAGAGCTGGAGAGAACTGGTTATTAAAGGATGAAAAAATGACCTGGTACAAAGGGTTAAGCAAAGGGTTAAGCTGGTACAAAGGGTTAAGCAAAGCACTATGAGGCTGTCCGCAGCCTCTGCAGCATGAATTTGATCCCCAGCCTGCCAAGTAGCTACCCACGTAGCACAGCAGACCTCTCCTGTCTCACCTGCTGCTCCCTTTAGCGGTGTATTTCAGTAGGTCTGCCTGTTTTGTTCCCGGCTGTCTCTGGTGAATCCTCTCACCCCCCACACCTCTGGCCTGTACCCCAGTTCTTGTATGCATAAATCTTAAAAAAAAAAAAAATGGGGCCTCCCTGGTGGCTCAAGGGGTTAAGACACAGCACTATGACGCTATCTGCAGCCACTGCAGCACAAGTTCCACCCCCGGCCAGGGAGCTATCCACATGGCACAGCAGACCTCTCCTGACTCACCTGCTGCTCCCCTCAGCAGTGTATTTCAGTCAGTCTTCCTGTTCTGTTCCCCACTCTGTCTCTGGCGAAGCCTCTCACCCCCTGCACCTCTGGCCTATACCCCAGTTCTTGCATGCATAAATAAATAAATCTTTAAAAAAAATATCCATTCTGAATCGGCAGACATCTTCCCCTATTCCCATCCCTTTCTATACCACAGTTCCCCCACCCACCCTGCCACTCCTCTTTATTCCCACCTGTACCTCCATTTTGTTCTCCAACCACCTCTGTAACTGCCATCTCACCACCTCTAGAACATGCCATCCATACCTTATAGGACCGGGGCATACTAGGTAGGACGGTGCCTCCACAGCAGCTGATTATCTCTCCCATCTGAGGTGGCGGGGGCTGGACTCCTGGGGTGACATGGACCTCATAGCCCTAAGAGGGAGCAAATGAGTAGATGTATACATGGGTGAGAGCCATGGACATCTAAGGGCGCTCTGGAAGGAGGGCTGAAGCAAGGGATGAAAGACAGCCTCACCTCCAGCAGCCTTTGTTCCCGAGCCCGGCGCAGGGCTTCCCGAAGACTAAAGCCAAAGTTCTTCTCCTGTTCAGGATCAGCCACCACGTATTCATCCGGGGGCAAGAAGGAACCGGCCTTGCGGGACTAAGGACAGGAACAGTCAGCACCAAGGCTCAGTTCAGCCCATCTCCCAGCTCTTCTGCCCAGCATTGTAGGGAGCCCGTGAAATGGTTTTTGAATCAAGCCTTCTGCTCGTTACCCACCCTTGTTTCCCACAGCCCTCGCCTCCCGTCCCATCGCCTTTGAGAGCGCTATGTGAGCTGGCCTCTCCGGTCTCTGTCTCTACTGGTCTGCCACCACCTTCAGGCCTCTCACCTGGTGCAGCCAGTCCAGGGAGAGGATGGGGATCCCTCTCCCCAGGGCACACAGGAACTTGACTGTCCGGCGGATTCGATCAGTCACCAGATGGGAAGCCTCTGTCACTGAGCTGGCCAGACTGCCCCCCAGCGCCAGCACCGCCCGCTCTCCTCGCGCATCCACCACGCCTGTGAACAGCACCTGTGGAGGGGTGAGCGCTGGTCACAGCCACCCAGGCCACCAATGCGTGGCTCAAAAACCCCTCATTCACCTCCCTTTCTCCCACAAAACCACATGCCCTCATGTCTTACTTTGGGGGCTGTGGAGTCTTGGTTAGGTTTGGCCCGTCGGAGGCTGCGGCTAGATATTCCCTTGGGTTCCTCAGTTTGGTCTCTCTTTCTCTTGACTGGTCCTGGTATTGCTACATGCTGGGACTGAGAAAGACTTTAGTGGGAATTTCTGAGCCCCTAGGCCCTTTTGTGCCCCTAACCCTTTCCTTACCTCGTCCTTCATTGGCCTCTCTGCAGCATCTTCTTCCTCTTCCTTGAAGAATATTGTCTCCTGTGGCACTTCCCCTCTTTGGAGTCGTTTTTGAGGTGGGGGAGAGTCCATGGTATCTAAAGGCCTCTTGCAGCTTTGAGAAGCCTTGGGACGGGTCTCTAGGGTGAGCTCAGTGCTATCTGCTGCCTCTGCCTTTTGGATATGGGGACCCTGAGTGGATGTCTTAGGAGGCTGGGCAGAGACAGGCTCAGATGTGGCACTAAAGGCCTCAGCTGCTCTCACAGCTCCCCGCCTTTGGTTCCTTGAGGACTGGCAGTTAGGTTCAGGGGGTGCAGGGCAGGGTTCAGGGACATAGGAAACTGTGAGGGACCCATGTTTCCTAGTGGCCCTCGGCTTCCTGCTTCCATTGGCTTGAGGGATAGACTCCTGGGGAATAGGTTGTTCTGTGGGGACAGGAGACTGGACTTCAGGAATGGGCACAGCATTTGCTGTAGAAGACCTTAGAGTCCTGCTCTGACCCTGATCTATGGCCTTGGGAGAGACAATCTGGTCTGCAGAGGCAGGAGGTTCAATATCAGGGGATGTGGGTACAATGGGCTGGGGGTTCTTCACAGAGGGCCTATGAGTCCTGCCCTGAGCAGTCTGAGGGCTGACAGACTGAGCTTTGGAGACAGAAAGCTGGATCTCAGGGGTTGTAGGATTAACTGGTTTGGGGGTTTTGACAGATCTATGCGTCTTGCCTCTAGTGGCCCGAGGTATAGGTTCAGGGGTGACAGGCTGATCTGTGGGGATGGAAGGCTGGAGCTCAGAGGTTGTGGGGACACCTGGTTCAGGGGTCTTGACAGAAGGCCTATGTGCTCTGCCCCGAGTGGCCCGAGATATAGGTTCAGGAGTGACAGGCTGATCTTTGGAAGTGGAAGGCTGGAGGTCAGGGGCTGTGGAGACACCTGGTTCAGGGGTCTTGACGGAGGACCTGTGTGTCCTGCCCCGAATGGCCCGAGATGTGGGCTCAGGGGTGACAGGCTGGTCTTTGGAAGTAGAAGGCTGGAGCTCAGAGGTTGTGGGGACACCTGGTTCAGGGGTCTTGACAGAGGACCTATGTGTCCTGCCCCGAATGGCCCGAGATGTGGGTTCAGGGGTGACAGGCTGGTCTTTGGAAGTAGAAGGCTGGAGCTCAGGGGCTGTGGGGACACCTAGTTCAGGGGTCTTGGCGGAGGACTTGTGTGTCCTGCCCCGAGTGGCCCGAGATGTGGGCTCAGGCTGGTCTGATGTGACAGGCTGATCTGTGGAGGTAGAAGGCTGGAGGTCAGGGGCTGTGGGAACATCTGGTTCAGGGGTCTTGACAGAGGACCTATGGGCTCTGCCCCGAGTGGCCCGAGATGTGAGTTCAGGAGTGACAGGCTGGTCTTTGGAAGTGGAAGGCTGGAGCTCAGGGGCTGTGAGGACGCCTGGTTCAGGGGTCTTGACAGAGGACCTGTGTGCCCTGCCCCGAGTGGCCCGAGATGTGGGTTCAGGGGTGACAGGTTGGTCTGTGGGGGTAGAAGGCTGGAGGTCAGGGGCTACGGGGACTACTGGTTCAGGGGTCTTGACAGAGGACCTGTGTGTCCTGCCCCGAGTGGCCCGAGATGTGGGCTCAGGGGTGACAGGCTGGTCTGTGGGGGTAGAAGGCTGGAAGTCAGGGGCTGTGGGGACACCTGGTTTGGGGGTCTTGACAGAAGACCTATGTACTCTGCCCCGAGTGGCCCGAGATGTGAGTTCAGGGGCGACAGGCTGGTCTTTGGAAGTGGAAGGCTGGAGCTCAGGGGCTGTGAGGACGCCTGGTTCAGGGGTCTTGACAGAGGACCTATGTGCCCTGCCCCGAATGGCCCGAGATGTGGGTTCAGGGGTGACAGGCTGGTCTGTGGAGGTGGAAGTCTGGTGTTCGGGGGCTATGGGGATACCTGGTTCAGGGGTCTTGACAGAGGACCTATGTGTCCTGCACTGAGTGGTCTGAGATGTGGGTTTGGGAGTGGCAGGCTGGTCTTTGGAAGTGGAAGGCTGGAGCTGGGGTTCTGTGGGGAAAACTGGCTCAGGCGTCTTTACAGAAGATCTCCGAGTTCTAACCTGAGAGACCTGAGTTGGGGGCTCAAACTTGACGGGCTGGTCTGTGGGGGTGGCAAGGTGGGGCTCAAGGGCAAGAGAAGAAACTGGAGTGGCAGTCATCCTGGCAGACCTCTGGCACCTAACTTTGGGTTCTGGATGGTGTAGCTCCAGCTCTAAGGACACGGGAGTCTCTGGAGCTACCTGACTCTCATTTTGCCTGGTCCTGGGAATGGGCAGCTCTAAGGAAGTTGGAGCGGGAGAAAGGATGGGTTGAGGTACAGGATTTTTTTGGCTTTGGAGTGAGGCTGAGGCTTCAGGCACTGCAGGAGGCAGACAAACATCTGGGGATTCCTGGGGAGAAACAGACGCAGGTGAGGAAGAGGCAGAGAGAGGTAAGACTTGGATACTGTTCCTGACACTTGTCAATGGCTAGCGTGTGCTCACTGGCATTTCCATCTGTGACCTCTTCCACTAGGCTGGGAACCTCCAGGGCTGAAGCAGTTCTCTTGCCCATGGACCGCTACCCATAATGCCAATTTAGTGCTCTCCATTTAAAGGATGACAGTAATAAGGAGGGTAACCATGGAAAAGAGGAAAAGGACTTTTTTTCTGAGTCGGGTAGAGAGAATTTGGAAAACAATAGCTGCTGAAGGTTGAAGGATAAAAGTCACGTAAGGAGTGATGGAAATGCAAGAAAAAGTGAGAATATGGGGAAGGAGATTAAAGGAAGGTCGGAGAAGAAAGCAGTGGAGTGGATGTAGAGATGACTTATGGGGTAGGCAGGGGGAGGTAGAGAAAGCAGTTCTCACCCTGGAAGCCTCCTCACTAGGTGGCATCTTGCAATTCAAGTGGCCTACACAGGAAGCAAAAACAATATGGCTGAGCTCTGAGCAGTCAGTTACTTGGGAGCTGATTATCATGAGGTTGTGTAACACCTTGGGTCACCCGCTGCCTGCACTTGCCTCTCTGCTGCCTTATGGGGCTCACTGGGGTTCCCCTTCCTCCACCTGACTGGGTCCCAGAAGCTACTGGGGTTGAAGCAAGTCCCTGAAGGTTCCCCACTCCTCTTCCAGGTTCTGCCTGTGCTGGTCCTGGCTCCCTCTCTGCCTCTCCTCTCTTGGTCTCTCTCTGGTATCACTTTAGGCACCTTGACTTCTGATTCACCCAGTGCCTGCCCTCTCTCTGGTACTCGTTCCTCCACTACTCTTGCAAATATTTCTCTTGCAAGAGCCTGCCTTTTTTTTTTTTTTTTTTTTTTTTTAATCTCAATAGACTCAATTCCTACTTCAAACTCTCCATATCCCTTTTAGTACTTGCACTTTCCAACTTTCTATTAGACTCTCGTATCTAAGATTCACTAGCTATTGCCTGTTTTTGTTCCCTGTCCTGTATCGCCCTGGCTAGTTCTTCCTTGCCCACACAGTTCCTCTCTTTCCTTCTGGAATGGTTTCTTGTTTCCCTCGCCATGGCTCTCTCTCCAGGGTCACCCACTCTGCTATTGCTCTTGATGTACCCATATCCACAGTCTGCATCCTTCTACCTTGAATCCCCAATGGCTGTGTGTGAACTGGGCTCTCTGGATGTTGGCCTTGCAGTGAACTGTCACAAGGTCCATGGGCCTCAAGGTAGGCAGCAATGGGCTGGGTCTCAGAGGCCTCAGACTCTCTTGGACAGAATGGCTGTGTAGCCAACACCTCCCATGGCTCATCCAAGGCACCTGGCAGTGATGAGTCAGAAAGAGAGGCTGAAGAGATAATAAGTTGAGAAAGGATTAATATAAACAAATGGAATAATAAACCTAATGGGCTATTAAAAAAAGCTGTGAATAAGAGAGATAGTTTTAATATTTAATATTAGTGTCAAAAAATAAGGTCAGGGCCTCCCTGGTGGTGCAAGGGGATAAAAGTCAGCACTACGAAGCTATCGGCAGCCACTACAGCACGAGTTCAATCCCTGGCCAGGAAACTGACCTACGTGGCACAGCAGACCTCTCCTGTCTTGCCTGCTGCTCCTCTCAGCAGTGTATTTCAGTAGATCCATGCCTGTTCTGCTCCCTACTCTGTCTCTGGTGAATCCTCACACACACCTCTGGCCGACACTCCAGCATTTTATGTGCATAAATAAATAAATCTTAAAACAAAAACAAAAAACCATGCCTTCAAATAAAAGTTCTCACAGCAGTCTCTTAAAAAAATGAAACTGGGGCCTCCCTGGTGGCTCAAGGGGTTAAGACTTAGCACTATGAAGCTATCAGCAGCTTCTACAGCATGAGTTTGATCCCTGGCCAGGGAGCTAACCCACATGGTGCAGCAGACCTCTCCTGCCTCGCCCGCTGCTCCCCTCAGCAGTGTATTTCAGTAGATCTGCCTGTTCTGCTCCCCACTGTCTCTGGTGAAACCTACCCCCCCCCACACACCTCTGGCATACACCCCAGCTCTTTTTTTTAAAAAAATTTTAATATTTATTTATACAAGAACCAGTCACCAGAGGCAGAGTGGGGAACAGACAGGCAGATTGATGAAATACACTGCTGAGGGGAGCAATGGGCGAGACAGGAGAGGTATGCCACGCCATGAGGGTTTCCTGCTGGCCGGCCAGGATCGAACCCGCGCTGCAGAGGCTGCGGACAGCTTCACAGTGCAGCGCTCATCTGCCTGTGCCGCCAGGGAGGCCGTGCACCCCAGCTCTTGTATGCATAAATAAGTTAAAAAAAAAATGAAGCTAGACTAGTTGCTCTATAGGTGTGACTTAGTATTTTTTTCTGATGAGACAGAAAGACATCAGCAAAATAGTTAAACAATGTAACAATATGACAGAATCACACAGAGAGAGAAAACAAGGATTCCAAGTTATGGGCAAAAGGAAGGCAGAGTTCCTCATACCTGGGGTCTGGAAGCTGCAATGAGAAGGGCCGGGCTCTTGGGTGTGGCTGAACAGGAAGGCCTGGGTGGGTTCATCCTCCATGTGCTGGACTGCTGCACAAGGAAGGATGGCCTGAGCACAGTCCTCCATGGGCCTCCTGGGTCCCAGGCCCCGCACACGCCAGCTTTCACACCCTTAAGGACCACCAGCGTACTCCCCCAGCTCCGCTTGTACCAGTATCCACACGACACAATGTCCTCACCTTCCAGGCTCTGATTCTCTCTCTCCACAAAGCACTGTGTAGCCTGCAAGTCCAGATCTTCAGAATCTGGTGGGGGAAGAGTACAGGGTAGAAAATAGATCACATCTGACCCGAAAGTCCTTACTTTTCCTTTATTGTTTCTCCTCACCTTCCTCCCCTATGTAAAGCATTGAGTGTTGGTATCTTCCCCAGCTGGAGGAGGCTGGGTCTCCTCTAGATGCAGCACAGGCAGCTTTATTGTGCTCCCATCTGCTTCCACATCTATTCCTATGCTGAAACTTAATCCCCAGAGTGAGGATGTTAGAAGGCAGGGGCATTTGGGAGGTCATGAGGGTAGAGCCTCATGGATGAAATTTGTGCCCTGATGAGAGACTTCAGAGAGTGCCCTGTGCTCAGAGAAGCCAACGAGAAGGCAGCTGCTTATGAGCAAGGACGTATGCCCTCAACAAATGCTGAATCTGTTGGTGCCTTGTTCTTGGACTTCCCAGCTGCAGGAAAAATAAATGTGAAAATAAATTAAATAAATGTGAAAATAAATGTCTGTTTTTTACAAGTCCCCTTGTGTATGGCCTTTTGTTAAAGGAGCTCAAATGGACTAAGAGACCCTATAGGCATTATTTTAGGGGTCAAGGAGGAAGGAAGATGAGATCTTACCATCATGGTTGTCTCCAGAGTCCTTGGTCCCGTGCACATGCAATTCTCTCTCCTTTCCTGTGGGGGTCTGAGTTCCTGCTCTCTGTGGCTGGGTGGGTGCCCCTGGAGTGCCCGTGCCCTTTGAGACAGGAACATCTTGCTTCCCTTGTGGCACAGGTGACCTTCCCCGGACCCCTTTCTCAAGTGCCTTCCCCTGCTCCAGGACGGCTGCAGCCTGTTCTATCATCCCCTGTGCTGGAAGCTGGCTCCTTCTTATACCTGCCACCACCGAGAATTCTAAGGCTGTGCCTTCTTCTGCATCTGTTTCACAGTCCTCAGCTGGAGGAGCCTGGGTCTCCCCTAGATGCAGCACAGGCAGCTTTGTTGGGCTCCCATCTGCTTCCACATCTATTTTATTTGTCCACGCCACATGCACCTGATGCTTTGCATCTGTGGCAGAAGCCCGGCTACTGTCCAGGTGGACCCTGGGTGAGCTGTTATCTTCCTCCATCTCTACATCATTGTCTCCAAAAGGTGGTTGGCTCTTTTCTGAATGTGCCGTGTCTTTATGACCTTTAGGGATAGTCTCTCTCTTTTTCACTGAGACCCCCTCTTCCTCCAAGTCTGTGTCACTGTCTCTCCCAGGGGAGATTTGGCTTTGCTTCAGGACCCCTGGTTGGGGCCTGTGTTCTTTTACTTCTGGATTTCTATTCCAGGTAGCGGCATGACTCTCTTTCAGACAAGCCAAAGTGAGCGCTGCGGAGACCTCTTCCTCGTCATCTGTATTGCTGTCGATCACAATGGAAGCTCTGCTTCTCTCCAGAGGGACCGTTACTGGATCCTCACCCTCCTCCACATCTGTATCACTACTAGTGGGACTCTTCTGCCCATGTGCTAAGCCAGGTACCCCAGGACTCTTTGTACTAACTCCATGGAAGAACTGTCTTTTCTTCATAGGAACTACAGCTGGGGTCACGGGCATCCCCTCTTCTTCCACATCAGTATCACTTTCTATGAAGCCACAAGGCTGGGTCATTTCCAAACGCACCTCCGCTGGTCCTCCAGTGGCCGTGCCCTCACCTTCCACATCTGTGTCACTGTCCTCCCCTGCAGGTTGGCTCCTCTCAACATTCACCCCAAATGGAACCACCCCAGTTCTTGCACCCCCCTCAACTTCCGTCTCATTGTCCCTGTCCTTCACTGAATGTTGATCCTTTCCAATTTGGGTTTCAGTTGTGCCTCCTTCAGTTTTAGGCTGTTCTGCCTCTGTAGTCGAGGAGGCCTCCCTTGCTGCTGGTAGCTGGTTTTCTTCTTCATCTGTGTCACTGTCCAAGTTGAAAGCAAAAGGTGGCCCAGGGCCATCCTGGGCAGGCGAATGCCCCTCTTCATCACTGTGAAGGAAAGAGAAGAGTCTAATGAATCTATTTCCCAGGCAGAGACACCCCCACTTACCTGTGACCTCCCTGAAGGCAGACACAGATAGTATGTTTTTCTGTCTTCAGTAATTAGTACTACTTGGCCCATCGGAGGTACACAACAGAAATTCAGCTGAGTGAAAGAGTATGTGTAGTCTCCTATTCTCCACTTTTAAGACAATTATCTCTTAGAGATGGATCCTCCAGCCCCTGTTTCTTTCTTTCTTTTTTTAAAGATTTATTTATTTATGCATACAAGAAATGGGTTGTAAGCCAGAGGTATGGTGGGTGAGAGGATTCACCAGAGTGGGGAGCAGAACAGGCAGATCTACTGAAATACACTGCTGAGGGGAGCAGCGGGAGAGGCAGGAGAGGTCTGTTGTGCCATGTGGGTAGCTCCTTGGCTGGCTAGGGATTGAACTTGAGCTGTGAATTCATACTGCAGTGGCTGGCGAAAGCTTGAGAGCTCTGTCTTTAACCCCTGCGCCACCAGGGAGGCCACTCTATTTCTTTTTGAAGACATGGGTCTGGCACTTGGACACTCACCTCTCTGGAACTACTGTTGCCAAAGTGGAGGATGTGGCACTTGGTTCATTCTCCACATACCTTTCAGCAAGAGAATCTGTCAAGAGGAGTAACGCAAGCTGACAGTCTTACCCTCACCAGGCCCTCTCCTCACCCACACTCCCAACACACACCTACCTACTTCCTCCTCGGAGTCCTCAGCCAACAGAAGCCCCCGAGATTGAGTTCCTCCCTGAACCCTGGGTGTCTCCTCTACAGTTAGAGGGCCCCGGGAGACAAAGGGCAGGGAGACATCCCGGCGATAATACTGACAGGGCAAGTCACCAAAGAGAATCAACTCCTGGTTCCTCAGACGATGACTCATCCCCGGGCTCAGGACTTTAGGAGGCCTCAGGATTTGAGTACCATTGAGGCTCCCACAATCCTGGAGGACAGGTGCCTTGTCCCAGGCGAAGATTTCAATCACTGCATGTTGTTTGGAGATGGATGGAAAGGGCAGGGCCACAGAGCAATCAGGCATCCGGCCTACCACATTCTTCCCGAGGTATAGTGGGAAATCTAAGGACAAGAGAGGTAGAGTGTTTCCAAGGCCAGAGGAGCCTGACCTGCTATTAGGAAAGTGTTCCTGTTAAACAGCCCCCTACTCACCCAAGGTCCCACATGCATTAGAAAAATAAAAAATCCCTAGGACATCTAGATATTGAAGAATATGCAATGTATTATTATTCAAAGTAAATACCCTATCCATTCACACTGCGCTTTATTTATTGTGGTAAAATATACATAAACTTCCCATTTTAAACATTTTTTTTTAAAAACATTTGTGCTTTATTTATTTATTTATTTATTTATTTTATTTTTATTTATACAAGCACTGGGTACAGTCAGAAGCGCGGGAGGGTGAGAGAATTCACCAGAGCCAGAGCAGGGAGCAGAGCAGGCAGAGGGACCGAAGCACACTGCTGAGGGGAGCAGCGGGCGGCAGGAGAGGTCTGCGTGCCATGTGGGACCCTCCTCCAGTGGCCGGGGAGCAACCGGGGATCGAACCGGCGCTGCAGAGGCTGTGGGCAGCTTCGCAACCCAGCACTCAACAGCTGCGCCACCGGGGAGGCCCCCATTTTAAACATTTTTAAGCATACAATTCAGTGGTACTAAATACATTCACACTGTTGTGCAACCATCACCCCCATTCATTTCTAGATCACGCTAGATTATTATCTGAATCTCTTTATCTTCTATCTACTAAAGTAAAGCAACACCCAGTAAGGCCAGGATAGTGGTGTAGCGCTATTTACTCACTCAGTCACCTCTTCTTCATTCCTAGTAGGAAAAATTTTCAGATATCCTTCAAACATATAAAGCGTCTTGCATTCCTCTGTTTCCCCACAAAAATAAGAAATCTATAATAGTACTTCAGTACCCAATACCCCCTGACCTTTTTCTGGTCCATGGACACTACTGAAGATACGCAGTCGTCCTAGGGGCTCCAAGTTATACCCCAATGGTTCATTGGGTTTCTCTGTCTCCTCCTCTTCTTCAACATCCCAGTTAATAACCTGGGTGTCCTCCATGATCTGGGAAGCAAACACATAATTGTCATCTCTGTCATTGGTTCACAAACAGAGCCTCAAGGGAGGAGATTGATAATCCAGGGTAAATCTGAAGTTATAAAGATTAATGCTTCTCTTTCTCTGCCAACCATTCTGTTGTTTATTCTTCTGAAGCATTTAAAAAGTATTTTGACTATGACACAAAGTAAGAAAGAAATATAAGGTCCCAAGTACGCAACTATATACAACATATTCATGTGCTTATTTATAGAGAAACATTCTGAGAAACAGTGCTTAGCCTTACACACTGTTTTCATTTCACTTTCCCCCCATTCTCTAGTTATGATTTATTTTTATTTATTTATACATTCAAGAGCTGGGGTACAGACCAGATGTGAGGGGAGGCGAGAGGATTCACCAGAGACACAGAGGGGAGCAGAATAGGCAGATCCACAGAAATACACTGCTGAGGGGAGCAGTGGATGAGACAGGAGAGGTCTGCTGCGCCATATGGGTTAGCTCCCTGGCCGGGGATTGAACTCATGCTACAGTGGCTGGTGATCACTTGATAGGGCTGAGATTTTAACCCCTGCACCACTAGGGAGGCCCTCATTCTCTACTTTTTAGATGCTGACTTGCAACTCACTAATTTGATTTAACTCTCCGCCACGGGGTTGCAACCTGCACCATTTCAAAGGGAGGTAGCATTTGCCAAGAATCAACTATGTGTCAAGCACAGTAGCCTCTGAGGTAGGTAATAGGGAATTAAGGCAAAAACTATTATATAGCATAGAGGGCTAAGTGGAAAGGATAGGAATAAAGGTGGTTCTGGCTGCAAAGTCCATGGTTTTATACTTTAGTAGATCATGTCAGTGTGAGTAAAGAAAATTGGAAAGAAATGTAACAGCCGAGATATACAGAGGTTTGTTGTGCCAAGCAGTGTTCTATTATTTTATACTAACTCATTTAATTGTCTCAAGAATCATGTAAAGTTCTATTATTATCTCCCATTTCTCAGAAAAGAAGCTGTCACAAAGACAGGTTAAGGAACTTGTCCCAAATCACCCAGATAATATTTCTCCTGTTTGCTGTATTTTAATTTTTCATGCCTAGACTCCAGCAATATCTGAACCCCTTTCCCTCAAGCCTATGGTTCAGCTACATGGATCTTCCCAATCTCTGAGCATACTGCCCCTGTTGTCCCCCACATCTGCATTCATTAGAATATCTTGGAGCTTCGCTTCTAGTTTTCTGACCCAACTCTTACCCATCCTTTACATTCTGTTCAAACGTCACTTCCTCAGCAAAGCCTTCCCTGGAGTCTTCCCCGCTTCCCGCGTGTCCACATGCTCCACAGTGGTCAGTGGATTTGGACCTAACACTTCTCATCCTACTGTAAACATACTTTTCCGTTTGTGCCCCCCCCCCCCCCCGTCCTGCCCCGCCCTCTCCCGCCCCCCCCCGCCCCCCGCAGACCAGCAGAACTCTTATTTCCCTTCAAATCCATCATGCAGATTCAAAGGTAGTTATGGTGCACCTGCTACGAAGTACTTGGGCTGCATTCACGAACCGAACATAAGATTAACCGTGCCTTCCAGAGTGTTACATCACCGAGTCTACTGATGAGAAGAACAAACGAAAGGAGATGAAAAGTCAAAATAGCACGGACTTCACTCCGATGCTACCCTAGAGAGTGACGGGTGTCAGGCGGGGAAAGCAGGACACCTCCTCTAGAGACAGGACCAACGCCGTCCTTATGACTGCAGAACTCAGGGGTGTCCCTGACCCCTCGCTTCAATTCAGTGGGCCACCATCTTTGATCCCCACCTCAGGGGGTCCCTCCTGGCCCAACGTCTCCCAGTGTCTTCATACCTAAACTCGGGAAGGGGAGTCAAGTAAGGGCCGGTATTATAATTCGAACAGCAAATTTCCAAATCTCCTCCGCCCAGTCGCCTCTAGGGCACGCCCCTCCCGCCCTCCCGGAGAACCAAGATGGCACCCGGGGAGACGTGGGCGAGGTCCCCCAGAACTCACCTACTTTGAGTCCCCCCGCGCGCCACCAGTAACGGCCGCAATCGGCGGCGCGAGTGCGAAGCCCGAAGAAGCCTATGTGCTGATTGGTTGCCGCTACTGTCTCTCACAGCCTCGCTGCACGCTGATTGATCAACCCGCCGGTAGTTAAAGTCCCTCCCCTTTCCGGACCCGCCCCTTAAAACTCAAAGGGGCGGTGCCTTTGGGGAGTCTAAGAACGGTTGAGTGAGGCGGTAATCCGAGAGCGCCGTAAACGCGCAGATAACGCGTTCCCATTGGGCAGCTCCGAGGGACGACCCAACGCCTTCACCACACACCGCCCACTTCCCGCGCAGTTTCCAAACCGCGACCATAGAGTTTGGTTGCCCGCGGCGGATAGAGGGGCTTACCATTGTCATCGCGCGAAGCATTTCGTGCGGCCAGAGCGCCTTTCCTCAGTCCTCCCAGATATGGTGGCCGCTGACTCAGGAGAAATGAAACTGGGTTGCGGATTGCAGTCGTGGCTGGAGGCTGCAGTTTGGAGAATAGCCTGTAGGTGTGGTGAGGACTTACTGTAGTGGATGGTCCTTTTGATTTGGCCTGTTCAGTGCAAGTCATGTAATTGCTTCCCTGAGAATATACCCCTGATGGACATTTTGAGATCTGATGCAAAAAATCCCTTGGCGAACAAGAACTGTTTTGCTAACTCCCTTAAAGGTTGACCGTAGAAGTGACTTTGCATTCGTTATCTCACTGCATCCCCACCACAATAATCAGATGGGCAGAAGTAGATTTTATGGAGGGAATTGAAGTTCTGCGAGATTAAATGACTCGCCTAGGTGCCTACATGTAAGGTAGGGACAAATTGGAACAACTCCTTTCATTCTAAATTCTGAACTCTTTCCGCTACCACAATACAACTACTACATTACGAATGTCTCAAACATAAGGCATTTGATTTTACATTGGTAGAGGGATCTTAAACAACTTGTGTTTCTTTAGGTGACTGGTGTAGTGCAAGAAAGAGCACAGTGCAGGATCTCTATGACCCAAGCAGAAGGGTGAAGGAGGAGAGTCCTGGAGCCCTCGGTGGCTTTTTCAGTCTTTATTTTACATTTTACCAGGTACACGGCAGGCAGGCGTGCCAGGGTGCCAGGAAGCTGGCAAGCCCCCTAGTTCCCAGCGAATCTTCACTTTTCAGGGCTCTCTGGTGTTCGCTCGTGGCTTTTTCTCTCTCTTCTGCTTCTCCTCTGGTCTCTCACTTGTTCCCTTCTGGTGGTTCTGCTCCTTCCGCGTCCCTTTACGCAGACCTTATGAGCCCAGTCTCTCAGCCCAGATGTATCCACCTACATATGCCCACATCCTACTTCAGGTGCTCACCATCAGGCATGCATAAAGGACCGCAGGGATCCATCATCAGTGCTAATGGCCCGAGGCAGAAAAGCCTGACAATTATTTACCCTACATTGGAAATGTGTGTTGAATTCGGTATGAATAACTATGACCTTGCTATCACATGTCCTCTGTTATAGGGCTTACAACACTGTTACAATCCTCACTAAATTGCAATTCCCTAAAAGGAATTCTTAATCCTTTTGTATCCCTAGCTTGTGGTTTGTTGGATACTTAGTATCTACCAAATGATTAATCCCTGAGAAGAAGCATGCCACTCAGATTTAAATCCATTCAATTTCCTCACATCAACCAGTCTTTTATTTCAATCCAGGGGACTCTTGAAAGGTTACAGTAGTCAGCCATTTATTTGGTCAGTAAATCAGTGAATTAAAAACCAGATTTCATCAAAGTGTCTAAAGGCAAGCTGGAAAGACTGAAATTCTACAAGGATCTCACGCCATAGTTTTATTTGGCAAGACCACAGTGTCTTCAATGCTGCTTTAAGGCCCACATCTACATGGAGGGAGACGTCTAGTCTCACAAACTGCAGATCTCAGCTCATCTAAACCACTTTTCCACTTTTTTGGGGGGAGGGGTGTCGAGAACATATCATCCAGACAATTACTTCTTTATCCTGAAAAGCCCTTTGCTGAGATTTTGTTTCTCTTTCTAAACATTTTCATGAGGAAAACTCCCAAAGAAATAAGGGGCAACCCCCTCCTCCCAGAGGTATCTGGGGGAGCAGCAGCTTACTGGAGTTCATGCTTTGGGTCGCCAAAGGGCCAGTCGTTAGCTAGCAGAGCAGGGTGCCACCTCGCTCCTGGATTTCGCTGAGCTAAGCAATCCAGTCTTTTCCCAACAGCTCCCGCTGCGGGGACTCTCAGGGCGTGCCCACACCACTTTCCAACGCCGGGCACCCCGAGATTCCCAATTCCTGGACTCCCGAAAACGAATCATTTTTTCGTACAAAAACTGGGGCACAGAGAAAAGAAATCTCGAGTAAGGTCATTTTTCATAAAAAACCCACAAAACCCAAAAACCTGTACCCACCCATTCATCCCTTCATTTTGCAGCGTGGACAACAATAGACGACTACAACTCCCAGAGAGCAGTGCGACTGTCGCCCGGAGCAGAGACCAATGGCCGAGTAATGCAGGACAGGCGTCGACTAATCAGGACCTGCCTCGCCGAGGCTTTGTCTTCCGACCGCGGCGCTGGGCGCTTTCTCCCGCCTCCCCGCCCGGCGCACGCGCGCCCCGCCCTGCCCGCCTCCTCCCGCGCCCTCCCCTCTCCTTTCTCCCTCTCAGAACCTTCCTGCCGCCGCGTTCGGACCTCGCTGCTCCAGCCTCCGGGGTCCCAGCCTTCCAGACTGCGACCAGCAGCAGTGAAAAAAAAATTACATAGCATTCTCTTGCCCCGTGTACACCTCGAGGCGAGCACAAAAATTAAAGTAAATTTTGAACCATGAGGGAAATCGTGCACATCCAGGCCGGTCAGTGTGGCAACCAGATCGGTGCCAAGGTAAGGATTTTAAACCCCTTCTTTTGTCTGTTTCTTTTGAGAAGAAATAATCAGGTAAATTATAAAGGATGGTTGTGGGACATTTGCACTGTCCATCCGTAGTCTAGGTTTGCCCAAAAAAGTTATATATGTATAATGCACAATTATCGCTAGATACTTTTTGAAAAATAGGGGATTATTTTTCTTGCTGGCTCATTTTGGAGAAGCTATTAGCAATACCCTTCAGGTTTGGGGGGGACGAGAGGACCGAGATTCTGTAAGATTTCACTTAAAGGGGATCTCCTAACGGTCCAAAGACCGGACAGGGAGGGAGATGCGCAAACGGCCCGAAACAAAGCGAGGCGGTTTTTCCCTTGTGCATCCCCCTTGGCAGGATTTCGTGGGGCGAAAACTAGGGGGAAGGGGCGAGGCTGGACCCGCAGCTGCAGAAAGGCGGGATCCAAAGATGGGGGGCGCGAGGCGCCGGGGTGGGCTGCACTGCTCTCTACCTTGCACAAAAAGATCGAGTCCCGAGGCGTGGACCCGCAGTTTTTCGTGGGTGGAAGGTTAATATATGCTGGATTAATTTCACTTTTTATTTCCCCTTAAAAAGATCGCCCCCCTTTGAGGGCTTGAGCAGATATTGAGGATAAACGGGGGCCTTTAAAGCCAGCCTCAGGACGGAGTGGTAAAGCAAGGGGGCGAAAAGCTAGCAAGGGAATGAAATTCCGGGGCCAAGGGGTTTTTTGATTTTTTTTTTTTTTTTTTTTGGCGCGCGCGGTTACAGTGTAGCGGGGGTGGGGCGGGGAGGAAGTGCGGCGGCTAGGTTGTAGCAGAAGGGCGGCCCCCCCTGCGGGGGCGGAGTTCGGGCGCCCTGGGCGCGTCTGGACAATGCGGCCCTCCGGGCGGGCGGGGGCGCCCCGCCGAGCCCCGCCCTTAGCGCGCGGAATTCGCGCCTCGGCCCCGCCCGCGCGCTTCGTTCCCTTTGTCGGAGGCGCGTTTTGCGCATGCCCCGCGGTCACGTGGCAGGGCGGGGGCGTGGTCTACTGCGGCAGCGGAAGGTGCTCCCGGGTCCCTTTGTGCGAGGCTTGGAGGGGCGGTGCCCGGTGCGAGGGCGGGCCTGCGCCTATCGCCCGGGTGGGCCGCCCACCCGTCCCGCGCCTGCGAGCCTGCGGCCGACCCTCCCCGCCGCATGGCGCCTCACATGAGGGGCGAGGGGCGTCTAGGGAAGGGCGTGGCAGGCAGCTAGAGGTGACCCCGGGCCCTAGAACAGGGCCTCCCACCGGCGTGTCGTTAAAATGGCTGGGATCTGAGCTGTCGCGAACTCCTTTCTCTCCCCCCGCAGTTCTGGGAGGTGATCAGTGATGAACATGGCATCGACCCCACCGGCACCTACCACGGGGACAGCGACCTGCAGCTGGACCGCATCTCCGTGTACTATAATGAAGCCACAGGTGAGGGCAGGTGCCGGAAGTACGGGTCCCATTCGTCTCCCACTTACCTGCAGCCTGGTCTCTGGGGGGGAGTAGGCCCTCTTCCCTTTGATGAATTCATCCTTTGCCTTTGGAGCCCTTGATTTCCCACCGAGGACAAAAAGCTAGCTCTTCTGCCACCTGGTGGCAGCGCCTGGAATCACAGTTCCTTGTCCCTATCAGTCCCAATGTATTTACCTCACCTGCCAATTTTCACTCCTTTCCTGTAGGTGGCAAATATGTTCCTCGTGCTATCTTGGTGGATTTAGAACCTGGGACCATGGATTCTGTTCGCTCAGGTCCTTTTGGCCAGATCTTCAGACCAGACAACTTTGTTTTTGGTGAGTTATACAGGTATTTGCAGATACTGCCAAGTATAATTTTTTGGGTGCAAGGAAGCAGCAAAAGATATGAGCTCTTATACAAGGCTGTGTTCTGAAATCACCAATGGAGGGTGGAAATGCAGTGACTGCTTTATTAGTGGAGGGTAGAATGTGGTCACTTATTTTCCAAAGTTTACTAATTTAGCTTACTTCTGACCCCATTCTAGGTCAGTCTGGGGCAGGCAACAACTGGGCCAAGGGCCACTATACAGAGGGGGCCGAACTGGTGGACTCGGTCCTGGATGTTGTACGGAAGGAGGCAGAGAGCTGTGACTGCCTGCAGGGCTTCCAGCTGACGCACTCGCTGGGCGGGGGCACGGGTTCTGGAATGGGCACCTTGCTCATCAGCAAGATCCGAGAAGAGTATCCTGACCGCATCATGAACACCTTCAGTGTGGTGCCTTCACCCAAAGTGTCCGACACTGTGGTTGAGCCCTATAACGCCACCCTCTCTGTCCATCAGTTAGTAGAGAATACCGATGAGACCTACTGCATTGACAACGAGGCCCTTTATGACATCTGCTTCCGCACCCTCAAGCTGACCACACCAACCTATGGGGACCTGAACCACCTCGTCTCAGCTACCATGAGTGGTGTCACCACCTGCCTCCGCTTCCCTGGCCAGCTCAATGCTGACCTTCGCAAGCTGGCAGTCAACATGGTGCCCTTTCCACGTCTCCACTTCTTCATGCCTGGCTTCGCTCCTCTGACCAGCCGTGGAAGCCAGCAGTACCGGGCCCTCACTGTGCCTGAACTCACCCAGCAAGTGTTCGACGCCAAGAATATGATGGCTGCCTGTGACCCCCGCCATGGCCGCTACCTGACCGTGGCTGCTGTCTTCCGTGGGCGGATGTCCATGAAGGAGGTAGATGAGCAGATGCTTAATGTGCAGAACAAGAATAGCAGCTACTTCGTAGAATGGATCCCCAACAACGTCAAGACAGCCGTCTGCGACATCCCTCCCCGTGGCCTCAAGATGGCAGTCACCTTCATCGGCAACAGCACAGCCATCCAGGAGCTCTTCAAGCGCATCTCAGAGCAGTTCACAGCCATGTTCCGCCGGAAGGCCTTCCTCCACTGGTACACAGGTGAGGGCATGGACGAGATGGAGTTCACCGAGGCCGAGAGCAACATGAATGACCTGGTCTCCGAGTACCAGCAGTACCAGGATGCCACCGCGGAAGAGGAAGAAGATTTCGGTGAGGAGGCTGAAGAAGAGGCCTAAGGCAGGCAGCGCCTCATCACCTCAGGCTTCTCAGTTCCCTCAGCCTTCTTCAACTGCCCCTTTTCTTTCTCAGATTTTGCTTTTTCTGCCTCTACTTTTTTCTTTTTGGGGGGGTTCTGAAACAGTGCCTGGCACATTATAGGCGCTCAATAAATATTTGTTGTTTGTTGAATGTCTCCTCTCTCTTTCCACTCTGGGAAACCTAGATATCTGCCATTCTGGGTGACCCTGTATTTCCTTCTAGTGCCCACTCTCATCTGTCCAGTTCATATTTTCCTCTATTTTCAAGATAATTCTCCCAGAAGCTGGGCATCTTCTGAATCCCATGTAGAACAATGTGCTGAGCTGGCCACCATCCTAAGGTCCATGTGGTAGCCACAGGGGAGGGAAACCAGGCCACTTTGATGGCTCTGAAGGAGGGGGGTGGATGGTTTGGGCTGTTGAAATGCTAATTTCCAGGTATTTTACTTGCTCCTCTCTGTGTTGGAGGAGGTGTTAAACAGTATTATCTCCATTTTCAGTTCCCCTTTATGCTCTATTTCAAGCTGTTTCCTTTGCAGGAATCTGCTCCACTGTCAGGTGGGATTCATCCCACTCCCACTATACCTCCCTCACACATTGGGTTTCTTTTCCCATGGTTGAAGAAAAGGATCAGGAGGAAGAGACCACCTTGGTCCTTAGGCTTCCAGAAAGGCCCTTCTTATCCCCATCTTTTTCTTACCCAGAAAAAGATGCTGGCCCTGCTGTGTGTGTATGTATATACATATGTGGAAGGGTGGGTACTGCCCACCTGCATGTTTCAGTCACTCCCCAGAGGAGAGGGGACAGGAGACCCTCCCATCTTTGCCAACATCTCATCTTCTTTGCTATTGCCTTTTTCTCCCTACCTTTGGTTTTGTCCTATTCTACACTTCAAATTTCTATTTTGTGTTGAACTTGCTTTTTTTCATATTGAAAAGATGACATTGCCCCAAGAGCCAAAAATAAATGGGAATTGAAAAAAGGACACGAGGTGTGTGCTCATTGAGGGAAAGCTCTCGCCGGTGGAGGCATGGGGTCAAGTTCAGTTACACACGGACTGCTCTCCATTAACTCCAAAAGATCCTTAATACTTATTTGATCCATGTCATACTTGAGTCCCTGGTAGCCAAAGCTCCCTAGTCCCCATTACTTCCAGGCTTAATAATGGGTAGCAGGCTCACACAGACCATCTGAGGATAAAAATGGAGATACCAATACATGTCCAATAGCGCATAGATGGCTCCTAGACCAACAGCCTCTGTGCCCCCCAGGCCTCTATAAGGATGCAAATTCCCAGGCCTACCAAATGTGCTGCACCATCATCAGACTGGGCCACAGCACCATCCTAGGAGCGTGTCAGGGAAATCTCATGAATGCAGGGTTGAACGCTTTCGCTGGACCATTTGCAATGCACAGCAGGTCCGGGGCCCTTCTAGTTGTGTGTTGCGTTTTCTGGAATCCTGTGGTTTTGTCACCTAAGCAAAGCTAGTTGGTGATGGCACTTCCTGGACCCATTCTGACAATCGCTTCATCCAGTATGTCCTAAAGTACTACAAAGTCAAGAGTCAACTTCCCTTGGCCATATTTCCAGTAAATCTAGGGAAGAATGCAATTCTCAACATTCTTCCATTTCAGCATGCTTTCCTGACTATAACCAACTTTGGGGAGGAATTACTTTCAACTCTTAATAGTGTACAGTAACTTATCTTTCTCCCTTTCTAAAAAGCCCGTTGAAGGCAAGGGAGCAAGCTACATTTAGTGTTCAGTTTAAATGAGTTCTGTTTTATTAAATTAATTGTTTTTAAAGTAATAGTACTTAACAGCAGTTGGACAAAGTTGAAAACTTCCAGGCCATCCATCAGTCTTGGCCAGGAAAGAATTCTAGACATAAGGCTCAGTCTATTTTAACTAGGAGGTTAAATAAGTTGGGGGTGGGGTACAAGTCAAGGCTGGACTGGACCTCTGGGGGACTGGCAGTCTTGGCAAATGTGGGGTTGAGAAGGGGAATAATCCCTTCCCGGCAAGGCACAGGCTATTTGGCAAGGAGATGGGAAAGGGAGGGTGCAACCCCATTGTCAAAGGTCATGCTCAGGGAGGCCAGTTGAAGTGCATGCAATACGAGGACCATTCAGGCAACTTGAACATGAGGCGAGGTACTGAAGCGCGCATTCAGGCTGTCCGTAAAGGCTTGTGGTTTACCTGGCAAAAAAAACAGTGTATGACCTTGGGAACCAGGTACCCTGCTCTCCCAGGCCCTGTTTGGAACACATGTGCTCCCAGGAGTCATCTGCTTGTTTCTGGCACCTACCTCACCCGCTTTGACCAAGCAGTCATTAGCACTCATAACAGCAAACCACTGAAAGGGTTGGAGGGGCCAGGGCCCCGCTCCAGCCAGCCTTCAGCACCCAATCTTCCTCCAGGAGGACTCAAGGAACAGGGCTTGAAAGTTACCAATATGGTTCAATACTTTTATCTATATATACATATTTTTACTAACTATTACTACTAAGTGCCAGGCATTCTTCTAAACACTTTGCTAATGTTTACTCAGTTAATCCCCTTAACCATTCAACAGGCTACTTAACTACAAACCCAATTTTAAGGTGAGGAAATAGGTTCAAAGAAATTGCTAACATGTCTGAGGTCACATGCAAGGAAGCTAAGATTCACATCAGAACAATCTGGCTCTAGACCCTGATCTCTGACCTCTGCTGTAATAAACAGGCACCAAAAAAGGCAATGACAGGTTTTGGAATTGTCAACAAGTTGCAACTGGTTCCTGTGCTAGTGTGACAAGGAGCACAGCTCCAGTCAGTGGTATGTCTGAAGTCTAGCTGCCCCAGCTATGTGGCACAGGGGAAGTGAGTTTCTTTGTAAAATACTCTGTATCCCAAGGGCAGTTTGATTTAAAAAAATATTCTTTACCCATCTGTGTAGAAGCTTAATACTGTGGCACACAGGAAGCAACTCATCTTCGGAGGCCTACAGGCTCTCTGGGCACAGGTTCAGCCTAGGCCTGCTATCTCCATGCCACAGGGATGCAAAACTACTCACAGTGTCCACCAGCCTCAGGAGCCTCACCTGGGAGATGCTGATGCCTGTGAGTCTCTCCACACTCTCTGGCAGGCGGGTCAGGATGTCCAGCACTTCCCCAGTCACTTTGGCAGCTCCCACGGTCCCATTTCCACTGGACACCAGTGTAATCTTATTGGCTGAGGTCAAGGGACCACTGATTTCCTCTGCCACCTGGTAGGAGAGAGGCCCACTCAGCGCTTTGGGTCTGACCACACCCTCCGCAAAAGCCTTACCCAGGGTTTTGAGCCCCTTGTCTTACTGGTGGTTCCTCCTCATTTTGGTCACTGCTTTAGAATTCCCTCCACTAATGTATGGTCCCAAGCTTGGTTCTCCCTAAGCACCTTATTAGCCTGGTGCCTCAATCCCTGGCTCCGACCCTCCTGGTGCCCATACACCCCCAGACCTGGGGCAGCTTCTCCAGTAGCATGTCCAGCTGAGCAGCCTCCTGGTACATCTGGAAGGCTTCTGCCTTCTTGGCCATCTGCTCCGCCTCCGCCCGGGCACGGGCCCCTATGGCAAAGGCCTCCGCCTCCCCGCGCATCTGGGGAGGGTACAGGATACTTGTGGTACTGACTGGCAGCAGAAAAGGACCAGAAACCCCAGTTCAAGCAGAAACAGCCCCCCTCAATAAGTTAGCAGGAGCCCCCTCCAAACTCACCCGCACAGACTCGGCTTCTGCCTCTGCCTGCATAATCAGCTGGGACCTGAGCAGAAAAGAGAAGAGGAGGGAGGGCTGTGGAGGGGCCCCTTTTCCTGGGAGAAAGAGGTCCCCGCGCTGGGGTGCAACAAGCGCTCCAGAGAAATCCAGGTAGTGAAGCCTCAGCTCTTTATCTGGGAGTGCCCACTTGGTGAAGGGCCAGAGGAGAGCTGGAAGGGGGCCTTACTTCTCTGCCTCTGCTAGGCGCTCCAGCTTATAGCGCTCAGCTTCAGCCGGCTTCCGAACTCGGGCCTCCAGTTCCTTCTCCCTGCGGGCGATCTCCTGCTCCTGCACCGCCACCTGCTGGGCCCGCTCCACCACCTGCACCTGTACCCGCTGTTCCTCGATCTGCTGCTTCGTCTTGGCCACCTGGGGAGAGGGGACGTTCAGAGTTAAGCTGAAATACAAGCACACTGGAAGCAGGCAGAAGCCAAGCCCAGGACACCAGGGTAGGGTACAATAGAATAGGTACAAGAAATGAAATGGGAAAGTGGGGGTAAGGGTGCTGGGGTAAGGGAACCCAGTGGAGTCCATTTTCCCAGCACAGATCCAAGGCATGGTCTAGAACCTCCTAGAGTCACATCCACCTTATCCCCAGGGAGTCTTAGCATCTTCTGGGTAGGGCTGGGCCCAGTCCCTGTTCTTGCTCAAGCTAGGTGCAGTTTCTCCGCCTGAATTTGCCCACCTTATCTCCCTGTGGTGTTCGGGATCCTCTTCCCAATTCACTTGCTCAGATTCACTTCTATCTGCACTGCCGTGGTTACCAGGGCGCAAGCTACTGGCATTGCAGCCTCAAGAACTGCTGTACCTACCCCCCTGACTTTCCTCTCCCGGGGTTGGGGACGTGTAACTTTTTCATTTTTTAATCATAGTACAACTTCAAAAGAAAAAAGTAAACACCTATGTAGGGTAAGTAAAGTTATCAGGCTTTTCTGGCCTCCTGCCATTAGAGTAAATGCATGCCTGATGGTGGACACCTGGAGTAGGGTGTGGGCATATGGAAGTGGGTACACCTGGGCTGAGACTGGGCTTATAAGGGCAGCGTCACGGGGATGCCAGCAGAGCAGAGTAGAACCATGAGAAGAACAGAATGACAGCAGCACCAGCAGAGAAGCAGAGGCCATGAGAGAACGTCCAAGAGCCCAGAGAAAGTGAAGACTTGCTGGGGGCTAGGAGGCCTGCCAGCCTCCTGGCACCCCTGCCTGCCATGTACCTGGTAAATCCCCATAAAAGCCTGCAAAAGCCACCAAGGGCTCCAGGACTCTCCTCTGCTCAGGTCGTAGAGATCCTGCACTGTGCCCATCCTGCCGCTACAACCTATTTCCTCCAACCTACTTCCCTTTCCCAGAAAGGATCACTGTGATCACCTTCTCATGTGT